TGTGTGTGTGTGTGTGTGTGTATGTGTGTGTGTGCGCGCACGCATATTTTATAGTTCACTTATAAACAGGATGCACAAGTGTGAATTGAATATGAAAAGATTTATTTGATTTGTCCTTTGAGTGTTGTAGGTATGTTTTTCCTCCGAAAGTATCATGTTGTGCTAATATGCTGTCATGTTATTAACCGCATGAAAAATGTGTCAACATGAAAAAGTCAGTCTTAAATATTCACAATAATAATCTCTTAATAATAGAGGCTTCTTCTGGATGGACTCTTATTTTACTTTGGGTGTAAATTCCATGTTTAATTTTGTTCTATCAAAAGACTTAAAACTGATAAGAGATATTTTTGTTTTTGTTTGAAGTCCTATGAATGGAACCTGCTTCTGAATATATTCTTTTCTTTGTCAATTTGAGAAAAACAGAGTTATTTTCTTGATATCCAAACTGACATTTCTTTTTCTCTTTCAGGAGACAAAGTGTCATCTCCAAGGAGGAAGAAAAAGAGGCTGTCACCAGCTGATGAGTATGTGATTGTTTGAGTTGGAATAATTCTAGCAATGAGTAATTGCGTCTGTGAAGATTGACAGCTTTTCCTAGCAACCAGTTATAGGGTCTATGGGATAGAAATAATAAATAAAGTCTGTGTGGGTGGAAATCTTGTTCTAGCAACCTGGGAGGTTATAGTTAAGAGGATTGCCAGTGATATGTGTTTATCAGTGTCCAAATTGTTTGTGCCGCGCTTTGCAAAAAGCTGAAGGACTGTGGTTGTTAAAACTGTTTGTACCATACGTACTGTGATCATTTTTGAGTCAGTGTCCAATTAAATTTGTAAAACCATGGATATTTAAAAACAGCTTACTGCAGATCACATAAACCAACATCATGAGAGTTTTTATATCAAGTTTTGATAAATTTGAAAAGTTTGTTTAATTATTTGATGTGTTATTTGGGTTTTAGGCTCAATGCAAAAGTCTTTTGGCTTTGCAAGGCTGGAAAAAATGAATTATTATTTTTTTATACATGTGTTCAAAATCTTGTTTGAATGCTCTGGTTTTCTCCAGCATTTAAAAAAAATTTGTCTTTGCCAGAGAGGAAGAATTTGTGAAGGCAGAGCTTCCTCCCAGCCGACCCCTGACCCCAACTGAACAAATGGACATCATGGCAGCCATTGAGAATGAACAGATCAAGAATGTTGGTGAGCCTGCGGAGCGAGACCTTGAGGTAAAGCTTGCAGCAGGGGAGGCAACCTTTTCTTTCCCTGTAGATGGTGGACCAGATAAAGGCTGTAAAAGACTGAAATTCTTTACACTTTACACTGCCTCTGTGTTTACTATTCATCTAGCCAGTTTGAGCATGAAATGTTTGTGGGTTCCATTGATAGGTCCCACATCATGAATACTTATCTTTGTTTTAAATATGGATTTAATGGGAGGGGTTAGATGGATTCCACTGGTATGTATATTAAACATACACTGTGTTGAACTGTGTAAAAGAAGATGAATAAGAATGAAGACAACAGATATAGAATCAAATGTTCTTGTGCTCATCATTGGTTCATTGTGATATAGTTTTCTAATATTTCAACTATCCTGCCATTCCTCTTCCCATCACCATCCACCCACCCACTTCCCCCCACCATCTTGTCGGGGCCCGTGATATTCTGTGTCCAGCGCTACTACTACTACATTCGTAAAGGCATTGCTGTGTCCATGTTGGCCCCACAAGAGAGCCAACAGCTGCGGAACATCGAACGTTTGGTTCCTGCCCACCTACTGACGGCCAAACATCTGCAGCCCATGTACAGTGACCTGCGTGAAGAGATTGCCAGCGACTACGAAATGAGTGCTCGCAAGTGCATTGGTCAGTGATACTTTGGTAGCTTGATCAAAGTCACTAACATAAAGATCGTGCTAACTTCCATACTGCCTTTGTCTTTGGTTTAGTGATTTGAGACAGACAGTTAAATAGTCCGTTGTTCATTTTTTGTTTCCTATCTACAAGTATAGTTGTCTAATTTATGAATCATAGTAATCTTTTAAAGCCAGTTTTGAGAATCAAACTGTCCATTTAACTTTTCTTTAAACAACAGTCGAAGTCACGGGGAGATTTTTTCTCTCATAGTGACCATCGGGTAAAAACCTTTATGGATACCTTAGTTTTGTGTTTTGTTACAGCTCCCGAGTTTTTGAGCTGGCTGCAGCAGCTCTGTTGGTTATCTGCTCGGCTAACATGGGGGAAGTTTAGGTTCAGTTGTTCCTGTGTGGTGCACTTCATCTGATCTCTAAGCTGCCACGAGGTACAAAACGCAATGGCCTTTCTCTGGTTTTTTCTCTAAATGAGTGGCTGTTATGATGTGTGAGTGTCTTTTGTGATGCACAAGTGTCTGTTAACATTGTGTTTGTCGTTTCAGTGGATTACATCCTACAGGACAGCACAGAGAAGAAAAGACTGCACATTGAGTGGACACCAAAGCCATTCTCTCAGAAGTAAGTCTATTCTGTGTAATGGTTTTTACTGTGGGCCAAAGGAGTCAGATCTGCTCTTTTTTGGGATGGGGGAGGGACATTTGTGCTTATCAATCTTCACTTACTTTATTATTTGTGTCATGACGCGATGGAATCACGCTTTCATCAATTTTTGGGCATATGGAGTATTACCTTAAAGCTTATTCATTTGTTTTGCATTTGGCAAATATGTGCTATTGAAGGAGGTGGGGGCTCCTGGTGTCAGAGGTAAATTTAGTGAGAAAATGGCCGCCAAAGTTTCATGACTTCCAATGCTTGAGCGTTTTAGGAAAGTCAAATTAAACATTTTTTTGGTGCCTTCGATCAATGTTCTTCAGTAAAATTCACACAGAAATACGTTCTTAAATGGACATAGAAGGTGTTGAGTCAAAAAAGAAAATTCGAAAAAAATTGCCCAACGACCAGAAAAATGCCGGTTTCCTTAATTACATGATTTTGATGAGTTCCTGATTTCACCACGTCGTTTCACATTTATTTATCAAGTTGGGTTACTTTGTTTGGCATGGGTTTTTTAAAATACAGTTGTATTTTGTTGTACTACAGTTTTCTAACCCATTTATTTATTTTATGATCTGGTTTGTGAGAGTTTTAAAAAAGGGGAGGGGCATGAAGCCAGCCAGCTTCATCTAGAATCTCATGTACAAGCTTCTTGCTTGTTGCCCTGTGTGTGTGTGTGTGGCGGGATTCACAGGAAGCTAAACACCAGACAAAACTGACAATGTTAATCAGAAAAAAAAAACAATACCGTGTTATGGCTTTACATTCTTGACTGACCACATGCAGTAGTTTTGTGTTGCTGTTGGAAGTTTTTCTGGCACATATGATCTCTGCACATGAATGGCACTCCCTGCTTGTCAATTATCTTATAAAAGAGAGGGTCTCAGAGTTGAGATATTTTCCTTTTCAATTAGACATACAGCAGTTATGAGGAGAAATGTGCCTGTTATGCAGTTGAACTGTGTTTTTGAAAAATATTTCCAAGGCCCAGCCGACCTTCCTCAATCGTGGAATTTTTACCTTTTGTTATCTGTGGGGTGGGTAGTTCTGTAGTGTAGTATGCCTCATCTGCTTCTCATTTTCTGGGGTTTTTTTTGTCACAGTTTGGGTCCTAGCACAATGCAAGTCTTATTGGTCTCAGTTAGAATTAGATCCAACTGAAAGCTTTTGATAACAGTGATAATGGATTGTGGATGGTTGGAGGGTTCCCCGCATTTATCCACTTCTTTTCTTTCTCTTTATTGTTTCTGTCTGTCTGTCATGCTCTTTCACTACATGTAATGACCCTTTTTGTGTTGCAGTGCTTCTCTTTACTCTAACTCATAATAGATCACATTTATATAGCGCCTTTCTACCCTGTGAATGCTCAATTGACCTGTTGACCTGTTTAAAACTTTGTGTAATTTCACAGAGTGATTCGTGCCCCTGTGCCCTGGCACTTCACTTATGCCAGCCGCAAGTCCTTCAATGAGCAGCACTTGTTCATCACCAACCCCATCATGCTGAAACTACAGTACCTGTGGTATAACGAGTAAGTGTACAGGACTTGAGGTTTTCATCTCGCCATTACAAAGTTTCATCTGTTTCAGAGAGTATCTTTTGAATGCATGCTCTCCCAATTTTGTACTTGCTTTTCTTTTCAATGTTGGTATTTTTCAATGAATTAGAATGTTTCACACATCTGTAGATCTCCCACTCAGTTTTTGTAGTAGGCATTGTTTTGTAATGATATACATTTTGGGGCATCTGAGGGCACTGTATGTGCTTAAGTAAACCAAAAAATGTGAGAAAATGCCAGTTACAGTGAGTCAGTTTACATATATTAGATTGTATTTGATTTGTATTTTTATGAAACTGTTATTTTTCTCATAATAGCTTACTAACAAACAATCATTAGACAAGTGTTTTGGGGTCTGTTTGCCAGGTTTTGCCACCTGCGCTTTGTAAACCTGGACAAACTCCTGGCTGCTGACCTGCCCCTTCTGCCCATGGAGTTTGAGTCCTTAGTCAAGACGCAGTGCTGGGAGGCCCACGAGTTTCTCAGAAAGACGTGAGTCATGTGACCATCTTCTGCCCAGCCCTTGTCTCACTGTCTACAGCTCACCTCTTCTCTTCTCTTCTTTTTTGCCATCACATTCACTCCAGCGCACCTCTTCTTTCACATTCTGCCCCACTCACACATTCTATGCACATCTTTAGTCTCACCCTCTCCAGCTCATCTTTTATCTCACCTTTTCTGGCTCACCTTTTGTCTCACCTTCTTTGGCTCACCTTCCCCTGGTCAGCTCTTCTTCCACCTTCTCCTGTTCATTTCTTTTTGCACATTCTCTTGAGTACACCTCTTTTCTCACCTTCTATGTCCGTTGACTTTCTTTTCACAGCACTAATTCACCTTTACAGGACCCTCACCTACTTTTTCGTAATGTAATTTTTCCATTTTCGCCCTGAAAAGTCTTTATATTTCCTTTTGGACCCTTGTTTAAATGTTATAATTCCCTTGTGAACAAATAAAAATGTCTTGAGTATTTCCCTCTTCTCTTCATTTCATCATACCACATCCTGTCCTGGGTCATTCCAGTTGGATCCCAACATGCGCCAAGCTGTTTGTGGATTACAAGGAGGTGTGGCAGGACCTGGTTCCCCCGGGGGAGCGTGACAGTACCGACCTGGTCCAAGAGTTTTTCTCTTGTGTGGCCTCGCTCATGTCTCTGCAGCTACGGTCCATGGTCATCAACTCGCTGTCCGACTTCCTCGACTTTTTCAAGCGTTACGAGGTAAGAACGGTCAAAGATAGTTCACTAAAAAATAGTTTTTTTTTAAGGGATGTATCTCTCTTAATGACATGAGTGTATCACTCTGTATGACGTATATCTGTTTGTATAATTTATGTAGAGTGGTCTCTATTTAAGAATATTTTGCGTAGGAACACAGTCTGTTGAAAAACCTACTTTTACAGTGTAACAGAATTCTTCCACTATAACTTGCATCCTAAGAACCTGCCTAAACGTAGAAATCCTCCTAAGAACTCAATTTGAGCTCAGGGCAATACTTTATTTTGAGGTACTTTACCATATACTGCGCAACCTGGGTGAATGGAGAGGAGTTGGCGTGAAATTTGATAATGAAATTTGCATGCTACACAGAACGTTATTTTAGGCAAACAGGTGAGCTCTGCCTAGCAGTCATTTGCCGAGTGTTTTTCAATTGCTACAATCACTCTCTCCTCTCATGTGGTCAAAGCATCATTATCATCATCATAACAAGAGACAAAATTCCAGTGCAATCTATGTGTTTCTCTCTGTATGATGTGTATATACATATATATATATATATATTTATAAATATCTATCTATCTCTGTATAATATCTTTATCTCTTGGTATGATGTCTTTGTATCTCTGTGTATGATATTTAAGCTACATATTTCTCTGTATGATGTGTATGCATTTCTCTGATATGCACGTATCTGTCCACATCCACAGGCTGGCAATGACTTCGGAGAAGACTATGATGAGTTGGCGTACGTACAGAAGCAGATCATGATCATCAAGTTGAAGATAGAGGAGCCCAAAATCATCTTCGACCCTCCATTCAGGGAGCTTCGGGATATCATTCTCAGGTGTTTCTCCGAGATCATCGCCAGTGGGGAAGGATTGACGAGAGTGAGTTTAGATTGTTATCACCATTGTTGTTGTCACAACTGTCATTTTGCTGTTGATGTTATTACTGTTGATGTGACTGCTTTTGCTGATGTTGTGGTTGTTAATGTTACTGTTGCTATTTTTGTCATTTTTGCAGGTGTTGGTGCTGTTGATGTTGATGCTGTTGATGCTACTGCTTTTGTTGACATTGTGGTTGTTAATGTTGTTCTTGTTTTTTTGTTGATGCTGCTGTTGTTTCTATGATTGATGTTCATGTTTATGCTGTCATTCATTTTTTAGCCACCTTGAAGCGCTTTAACATTTTTCTCAAAACTTTTATGAGAACCTTGTGGCCTAGTTCTGATTACTTTATGAAGCACAGACGGAAAAGTTGGAAGATCAAATGACACAGTTTCTGTTTGTGTAGCAGACATTTCACCTCCTGTTTGGATTTCCCTGACCTTTTCCACCTGACTTTTGTAACACCGCTGCCATTGTACACGACCAAGACAAATTTTAATTTCTCCCAGAAAGATTGAGGAAGATTTTCATTGTCATTGTCATTATAGGTGGAGTGTGAACTGTTCCCGGACATGAGAGGTCAAAGGTTACTTCTGCGCTCGGTCAAGATTGAGGAGAGTCTTGTCACAGACTATACAGACAAGGCCATGGAGATCTTCAAGACTAACACTGTCGGGCCACAGAAGTAAGTGTGTCACTTAGTGTCTTTGAGTGCGTCTGTGAGTATGTCTTTGAGTGTTTCTCTGAGTGTGTCTTTGAGTGTGTTTCTGAAAATGTCTTTGAGTGTATCTCGGAGTGTGTCTCTGAGTATGTCTCTGAGTGTGTTGGTATGGCTATGTGTAAGTTCTCTATGCCATCTAGCTACTTACTGATGGCAGTCTGTGGTCAGTATTGTGTCAGTATCCTTGTACTTATAAATAAAAAAGAGAAACAAAACTTATAGCCATATAGGTGCAGGTTGAAATTGTTGTGTAAGTGGGAAGAAAAAAATGTTGTGCTGTTGTGTTTCTAGCGTGGCCTTGAACCACAATGCTGCATAATGGTAACACTCGTTTGTCTGTGCGTCTCCAGGTACCTGAATGTGTACAAGAAATACTCGGACCTGCTGAACAACAAGGCTGATCAGGACATCTCAGCCTTCCTCAGACAGACACACTCCATCGCAGCCTTCAAGAGTGTGAGTGTTTTGTATTTTGTCCTTTCGTGTTTACCTATTACAGAATGTGTGGTGTATGGGTGCTTCTTATTTTTTCTCCCCTTGGTCAAGATTGTTTATTTGTCTCTTGCCATTTTTTTTTCTTCTAAAAATAGCCTTTGTATATGTTGAAAGAAAATCAAGGTGATTTTTCTTATGACTGCTTTAAAACTTTACCATTTCATTATGGAAGTTATTAGACCTATTCTGATATAACTCCTATCGCAAACAAAAATGAGCCACACTGGTGGAGAGTCTAGACCTTTAAAAAAGCCTTGTTTGGGATTTTATCCAGCGTCACTACACCACAGCCTAGAGTATGGTTTCAACTGAGCTAATCAACTTCCAGGTCCTGATTTTGACTGGATCGCAAGAATTGCTGGAGACTAGAATTTAGTCTCTTTGTGAAGATGTAATTTTGATGGTAATGAGAGAAAAGACAAATAGAGAAATTTCTAGAGTAAATAGGTAAAGAAATGAACAAGTCAGTAAATAAGAGAGAGACAGAGAGAGTAGGAGTGAGAGAGTGAGTCAGCTAGGGACTGAGTCAAAGAGTGAATGATGGAGTGAGCAAATGAGTAAATGAGTGAATGAGCTAGTGAGTGAGTCAGTGAAGTACTGAGTGATCAAGTGAGTGAATTTTAACATCTGCAACATTCATTATACAGATTTGATTCTCTCTAGCCTCAATTCAACTGAAATACTCCCAACAGAAAATTGACTCTTACCAAGCATTGAAAGATGAGATAGCTCTCCTGCGAATCACAGCCCCCCTGAGCATGTTCTGTCTAGACTGTGTCCAGTTTAATGCAGAAATGTGCATGCGGGCGCAGCGGCTGAAGGACAAACTGGTGATGTTTGAAGTGGACGAGAACAGAGACCTGAACAGGGCGTGAGTCATATATTATCCTATACCCCCGGTCCTCTCCACTCACCCCTCTCCTTCCCACAAATGCACAAATTTCAACTCTGATGTTGATCTGGCTGTTCAGTTCTTAGATTGAATTCAACTGTAACAGGAAGACACTTTTGCACAATTCAAACAAACTCACTTCATTATACGTAATCAAATACATGCATCCTTTCTTGTATGGGTACATTTACACATACAGTCACACACTTACACATACTAATGCACACTTACATACACATACATGCACATATTCATACATATGCTAGCAATCATGAACACAAAAACACACATACAAACAGCTGAAAGTGCTTACAATAGGCATATTGGGACAAGTACAGATAAATCACTTATTTAGGTAAAAATGTTTATACAATAACATGCACATATGCCATCACACAAAGCCACATGCACAAAAAAAATTATTATATATATATATAAAACTAACAAAAGGTCAAAAAAACTTACAAACAAGCATTACCTATTGTCCACAGGCTATGCAAGCGATATGAGGAGATTCAGGATCGTGTTCAGATCATCCCGGAGTCTACCAAAGACCTCGTGGATCTACAAGATTTTCTCAAAATGGTAATTGTCTTCATCAGAAATACGTGCTTTCTTTTTCTCTCACGTGGGAATTTTTTGTCCTGGTATACATATATAAACTTCAGATTTTAACATATTGTCAAGAACTCATTTCATGTAAGAAATTTATTGTGAATATCTTCTTTTTTTCTAACTCCCTGATGTCTTAATTCATATAAAGATCGTTTTGGATCGGGAAAGCTGTTCTTCTTTTTTTACTTTCTGTCACTCTCATATTCTGCTGTTTCTGCTATGTCTTTTTGTTTTGTTCTTTTGTATCTTGTTTTGTTTGTCTCTACCTCTGATTTTACTGTGCCTCTCATTCTGACGTACTGGTGTGTTGAATATCTTTGTTCCATGTCTGCTTTGATGTGGCTTCCCCCTCAGCCTAATTTAACTCTGGCGATGGGTAGTTGGCGGGTGCTCTCCTGTAACACTTCTTATCTTCAAAACTTATATGACATATTTGTGTTGCAGGTGCTGTAGAACTCTTACTAAAATTTAAACCGACCCTGATAGGTGAGATCAAAGTTACTTGAGAGGGGTGTAAAATATTTACAATCCATCACTATAACATCTGTACTGTTTGTCACTTCCCCTCCATGATTCCATGTGCGTTCTTTTGTGTCCTCCACAGTCCAGTGACGTTTCAGTTTACAAATTGCTGGATGAGGTTGAAGAGGCCGGAAACCGCTTGAAGTTCCTCCTTGACTATGCTGACTTCCCACGTAAGCAGAGATCTCTAGGGGTCATCCTTGTATTCATGTCTTAGTCTGTTCTACTTCTTTTGTTGTTCATCTGCCCTGGTTGTTTTTCCCTGCACTAAGTATCCATTATTGGGTCAGTGTGCTACAGAAGCTGAAACTAAACAAAACATGTAAGCAAAGCATGTTCTGTTTCAGTTTTGTATTTTCTGTGTGGCATTAAAATTTTATGCATGTCAGCAACTCTTCAAGTGGGCATTTATGCAAATTTAGTCTTTCATAGGGACGCAAGCACACACATGTTTCAAGGTTGTTCAGAAGCGTACTTTTTGGTGAATACGAAAAGTTACCTTAAACTGAAATGTTTAGTGTTGAAAGGTAGACAAGGGGCACTATTGTATTTACGTCTTTCTGCATATCTTAAACAAAAACACAAATGAGCAAATGTTTTGTCCATCAGAGGAAGACATCAAGCTGAACACAGTGACGTTCCATTGGCCAAGCCAGATCACGACCATCCTGGATCACAGCCAAGGACGCATCATGAGCAAGAGGCAACAAATCGAGGAGGAGCTTAAGAAGCGTGTCGCCGCCTTCGAAGAGAAGATTGATGGATATGGCAAGGAGGTGGATTCTTTCAGAAGGAAAGAAGTAAGTCCTCCCTGTTCCTAAGTCCCTTGTGGGTGCTGTGATCAGTGGGTGGTTGGTGGATGCAGCTTGTGGTCTCTTTTACTCTCTAGTCTTTTTCTTTCTGTTAACTGTCTTGTTATGTATGTGTGAGTGAATAATTGGAGGGTGGGGAGGGGGCGTATCTTTCTGGCAAAAAACCCCTAAAATCTTGTCTATTAAATTGATGTACAGAAAAGTGAGAAGACATGGAATAACATCAAGAGACTAGCCCAGGATAGAGAAAGGTGGAAAATGTTTGCTCGTGGCCCTATACCATGGTGCAGGGTGAGAAAGGAAATGATGGTAATCATGAGTTGGATTTGGGGGGGGGGGGGAGGGGGAATGGGGAGGGGGGGTGTTATTTTTTTTCCCATAACGTATGAATTCAAAAGAGAACTATACTGTGGACATAGTTTGCACAGATGTGGCATCTCTACAAAAGCCCCCTTTTTTCTCTTTGGAGGATATCTTTTACTTTAATTGGCATGTGATTTCAAACTCAAAGTATGTCAATTAAAATGTCTGTATATGTTCCTTTCTATTGTAGTTCATGGGTCAGGACGAGATGAAGAACAATGTGGAGGTGTTGAGCACACTTCAAGTCAATCTGGAAGCCGCCCGCGATGAGCTTGAGGGTCTGCAGGACGAGGAGCGTCTGCTGGAGTGGGAGGTCACAGAGTTCCCGCAGCTACAAAACATGTTTACGCTGAAGGAGCCGTACGACAAACTCTGGCGCACTGCCTACAACTTCAACCTTAAAAGCGAGGCCTGGACCAATGGTAGGTGGCCTTCAGGGTGGGACTTAAAATAACAAGCACTCTTTTCTCTTCAGAAGCCTGTGAGTTCTTTTAGTTACAAAAACGAATCTAAATGATAATTTTTTTTTTTTTGTTGGAATTTTTTTGTCAGATGCGGAAAGCAAAATCTTATAATGACTTAAGTCTTGTAGGTTATTGTCAATTTAGAACAGAAAGGTTTGATCTGGGTGCAGGGGAGTCCCACTAAAGTTATTTTTCTTTGTAAGTATATGAATCAGATTAGAATTGAAACATATCAGTCAGGGTATAACCTCCACTCTACATGTGTGTAGTAAACTAAAAATATCTCAAATGGGTGAATGCCAATGAAGCATACTTTCATGGCAAAAGATTGTAATTTTCCTTTTATCACAACATTCCAAAATTTACTTTCACGACAGGGAGACTTTGACAGATAATTAATCTTACTGAATTATTTGCAATCCATTTGCCAAATAAAAACCCTTAATAAAAAAGATCTGGTATACTGTATTCCTCCTTCTTTTCCTCAGGCCCCTTCAAGGAACTCAATTCAGAAGACATTGAGAACGAGGTTGGGGACATGTGGCGCTCAATGTACAAACTGGTCAAGACTTTCTCAGACCAGCAGGGACCCCGGCATATCGCCACCACAGTCAAGGCTAAGATTGACAGGTTCAAAGCCAACATGCCTATCTTGCAGACTATTTGTAACCCAGGCATACGTGACAGACATTGGGAACAGGTAACTCTATAATCCAGACATACATGACAGACATTTTGCAAAGACATTCATAATACGCGACCTCAGTGCTTTCTTGTCGTATTTCCATTTTTAATAACAGCGAATACAGTTCATAACAAAGAGGAAGCTTAAGAAGAAGTCACATTTTCAATGTTAAAAAAAAATGAAGATATGACAAGAAAGCACTGAAGTCGTGAATAGGTAACTCTATAACCCAGACATATGCAACTTTCTTCTTAGGCACTGTTAAATATTAAAATTCTGATTTCAAAGTGAAACAAAATCACTTTGACTGGTGGAGAAGGCAAGAGGAGAAAGGGATGCAATATTGTTCAGAGCAATACAAACTGTAGTAGAAGCCAAATGAGGATACTCTTAGTTCTTGCTTCTCCTTTATCTGCTTTTCTAAATAATATTTTGTTGCATCTTGGCTATTTTGTTCATTTTTTGATCATGTGTTTAATGTTGATACTTTTCATAGAGTATGACACATAACTGTCAAATTTTCAAAACATAACTTTTCAGGAGGAGCAAAAAGACTAACCTGCTCCCACACCGCCCCTCATTGTATTATTTTCTTCACAGCCTTTCTCGACTGTTTATGAAAGTAAAGACTCTGCAACCTAAGGTGTACTGTCATTTGTTTCCCTGTGAAAAAGTGTTATCTCAAGATATAATTGTTTGCTCCCTTGCCATCTCTTGTATACCTGTAGTAAGTGTAATTTTTTATTCACTTCAGATGAGTGAGATCGTTGGGTTCGACCTCCGACCCAAGGAGACCACATCTCTGGCAGAAATGCTGGAGTATGGCTTGCAGAAACACCTGGCCAGGTATGTCAGCTTTTCATCAAATTTGTTCTCCTTAATCCCTTGGCTTTTCCAATATCAATGTGTGTAATTTGTTGAACACTTTTGTCTGTTTTTAGCTTAGCTTTTTCAGATTTGGTTTTTGTGAAAATTTGGAGATTAACTTGTACTAATATAAAAAAAAAATCGACCATGAAGAGCTAGATTTCAAAGACAATATGTTGATATTTGGAAAATCCTTTCTCACTCTGCTCCAGTGAGTCATGACTAGAGCAAACCTCTTTCACTTTAGCTTGACATTTTCTATTGTGACAGCTAAAATAAGTTTTGTTCTATGCTACCTTTTCACTTTATTGCATCAAGACTGACACATAAGGAAATGTGTTGAGGAACTGAATCACTTTGGTTTCATTTGATTTTGATATTTCTGTAAGGATGCATACTTGAGATAAGAATACCCTACCCCCTTCCCCATTTCTGACCTGCAGACTGGAAGAGATTGGAGCCAGTGCAGCCAAGGAGTATTCTCTAGAGAAAGCCTTGACCAAGATGAAGGACGACTGGAAGGACCTCAGATTTGAACTTGTGGCTTACAGAGACACGGTCAGTCATGGGGCTTTCTTGTGGTAGCATCTGTCAGAGACACAATAGGTGTTGCGGTTTCAAATTGCCTGCGCAAACATTGAGTGTGCAGACGGATAAAAAAGATATTCTGTCTTACTGACGGAAGGCGCAACTCCAGATTTGTAGAATACGTCCTTTTACATAAGTCTCAACTTATCTGTTCTTGTCCATATGTCCTTTTACGTATATCTCAACTCATCAGTCACAGCTCATTTTTTCCTACCAATATGTCCTAACTCATATGTCACTGACCATGCCCTACTGTTCTTCCCCCCCCCCCCCCCCTCAACTATCTCCAGGGAGTGGACATCCTGAGTGCCCTGGATGACATCCAAGCTCTACTAGACGACAACATTGTGAAGGCCCAGACCATGCGAGGCTCACCCTTCATCAAGCCCTTCGAGGTGGAGATGAAGGAGTGGGAGGAGAAGCTGGTCCTCATGCAAGACATCATTGATGAGTGGCTCAAGGTCAGAGGTCATAGAATCAGGGGTCTTTGGGTCAAGCTTGTTCCGTGCACTATGGAGGGGATGGGTTTTTTGGGGGGCATGCTTTAGCATGGGATTATGCTCATTCTGAATATACAGAAAGGTTAAAGGTTAGTTTCAACACTGAAGTGGGGTTCAGGATTTTTAAAGACATTTTTTAAGAGACAGTCATTCTGGGGTTTTGTTCTAATTTGCTGGTAATTGAAAGGAGCCAGTGGAAGGTGTTACCTCTATACACTCTGTCTATTGTTTCTTTTTGTCTGTCTTGCTTTTTCTTAGTACTAAATGGCCATTATCGTATTGATTTGCTTCTCTTTACTTTCAAAAAGCCTGATCTTAGTACTGCTTGATTCCAGTAGGTAGAATGTGTATATCTACTTCAGGTGTTTCATAGTTCAATATAAGGAGTTGGGGATAGTGAGTAGGGAAGGTAAAAGTCCTGTTCTATGTGAAGTAACACCATAAGGCTTTCTGTTCCCTTTGTGAGCTTCATCTCTTGTATCTATCTTTGCATCCCCTCACCCCTCCCCACCCCCTTACACATACATCACACTGCTCTCCCATCCCTGTTCCATCCATCTCCCCATACATGTCCTTCCCATACCCTTCCAACTTTGCATCGTCCATTCTTCCCTTCCCCAATCCCATCTGGTTTTCTCTCCCCATGGCTGAACAGGTCCAAGCCACATGGCTGTACCTGGAGCCCATCTTCAGCTCTGAGGACATCATGGCCCAGATGCCAGAGGAGGGACGCAAGTTTGGCATCGTGGACAGCTACTGGCGTGACATCATGACTGAAACTAGCAAGGTATTTTGCCTGCACTACGTCCACTAAACGCTTAATTAAAAAATTCAGATGTGTATTTATATAGCATAGGCCTATTGATAATAATATATGGCATTTATACAGTGCTCAATATATACACATATATGTGAGTAATTTTAAAGCAGAAATGAATTTAGCAGAATTTGAATAAGTAAAAAAGATTTGATCTCTCTTAAACAACTGGTCAAAATATTCTAGATCTTGGGACAATGATATACAAATGTCCTTTCACTCATTGTTTTGAGTTTCATAGTTGGTAAAAGAAATTTCTTTTCATCAGCTGGTGACCTTCAACTGCGAGTTAGAATGTACAGGTTCAACAGATTTGATAAAATGATGGCACATTACTCCCATGAAGGCTCATAAAACTTCACAATAACTCCAGAGGCTGGCCTGTTCCTTTTAGATTACTGTTTCCGTCTGTCAACAGGACACCAACTGTCTTGTGGCCACGGGCCAGAACAACATGCTGGGACGACTGAAGGAAGCCAACGTCCTGCTGGAGGAGATCCAGAAAGGACTCAATGCCTACCTGGAGAAGAAGAGGCTGTTTTTCCCCCGGTGAGTCACTCTTTGACCTCTTGACCTCCTCTTCTCCTCATGTGTCATGGCCCTTATTGGTCCATTGTTGAGTTGTAGTTTAATGTTGAGATTTCATGTGTTTGGTCTGTGATAGGTGTTTGTGATGAGAATAAGTAGATTAAGGAGAGGGGGGAAGGGGCAGCAGTATTGTTGCTGTGATGTGTAAACAATGATGAAGCTGTAGGTTAGAGCTAGTTGCCAGGGAGCAATCCCCCTGCCCCTCTCACTTCCATCCTCCCTCATTCTTAATAAACTTCTTTCACACAATGTCAGACTACCTTTCATATGTGAGGCATCGTGGTGAAATCAATGGCTTGTCAAAATAATATCTGCATTTTTGGGCTGATGGGCAATTTTTTTTCTAATTGTCTTTTTTTTGCTCAACACTTTTTGTATCTATTTAAAACATATTTTTGTGTGGATTTTACTGAAAAATATTGATTAAAGGCTCAAAAAACATAAATTTTCATTTTCCAAGGACTCTCAGCACTTTGGCGGCCATTTACTCGCTAATTTTACCTCTGAAACCAAGCGAGCGACCCTGACCTCCTTTAATCACAAATATTTCGACCTCTATTCAACTTAGATTTATATTTTTTTTTATCTAAAGGAAGGCAAATAAACAGGCTTTAAGATGATACCAATAACCCTGTATGCCCTAAAATGGATGAACACCTGATTCCACCTCGTCGCAACACATATGCTTCTGTCTCTGCCAGACACTAAGTAGTCTTTTTCAGTCATGTGAACAGAGGAAAATAAAGTGAGCGTACCAAGGACATAACTTCTGACCTATTAGAGTTAGAGCATGGTTTTGATCAACCAAATCCTATTCCTCCTCTCTTAAATGACAGTTCTTGTGTTTTCCTTGAACTCATAAGAATAATTAAAGAAACATGTGAGAAAATGAAGGAAAGTTCAAGTGCTGAGCGTAATGACAAAATGGGTTGTCTTCCATATTCAAACTACTGCCTTTTCTTCAGTATATCGTGAGCTCAGTTTGAATATTTAGTTATTTAGAATAATTTGTTTTAAAATGCATCATAGCTTATGATTTTTTGCTGGTTTGATTTAGCTTTTTCTTCAGCAGTCTATGCAAATGTGAATTGAATGTAATCTTTTTCTAATTAAAAAAATTTTTTTTTTGGGGGGGGGGGGGGGGGGGGGGGTGATTTAACACAGTTTGTAACAAATTCCTTCAAGTGCTGTTCTACTGTCACAGATTCTTTTTCCTGTCAAATGACGAGCTGCTGGAGATTCTGTCAGAGACCAAAGACCCACTGCGCGTACAGCCGCATTTGAAGAAGTGCTTTGAGGGCATTGCAAAGTTGGAGTTCACTGAAAATGAGGAAATTATTGGCATGATTTCTGCTGAGAATGAAACTGTTCCATTCTCGTCCATGATCGTCCCAGCCAAGGCCAAGGTAAGTGGGCACAGGCAGTGGAACAAGTTCAGAGATGCTTGCTGAAGTATTGATCGGCTTTTATTTCTAGAGTTTGCAATACATGTTTTTCATCTTCTGATTAGAACTTTTATTCTATAATTTCTATGCATTTTGTAATTTGGTAGATTATGTCTAGTGAAACTGTTGACAGAGGTATGGAATCCTGATAAAATCTCTGACTTTTCAAAGTTTGAGAGAATAAAGCGAGTTGCCATGATCTTTACCAGTTTTGGTTATAGATTGACTTTGGACCTGTAGAATATGTCTCAGATCCATTCATGATCTGTTATTCCTATTCAACCTCCCCCCCCCTCCCTCCCAAACTACTCCATTCCCAGGACTAGTTTTTAAAAAAATCCCTTATGCATCATTCGTATTTTAAAGAATCACAAGCAAAAAAAAGTTTCTTTGACTGGTTTCATACGAACTATGGAAGCTTTGGTGGCTGGGAAAGGCTGCTCAGATTTAATGAGTTAATCTACTGGAGTTCTGGAGACTTTTTTTTCCCAAACTTGTATTTTCTGGGAGGATTTTGGGGGAAAACTCCCATTTTTGGTCACAGAATAGTTGGCAGGTCTTCTTCTATATGTGTGACAAATCTGACTTTTTTTCCTGGGCACCCACGCAGTGACTTTGTGAATAAGTGCTGAGGAAAAATGTGGTTACAATTTTTTCTTAGTTTCACTATAGAATGAGTTCACCTATGTTTGGCATAAATCCCAGCTCGAACTTTATATTATTTGACGTTTCCCTCCTACAGGGTATGGTGGAGAAGTGGCTGCTCCAGGTAGAGGATGTGATGATCTCATCACTGCGTAAGGTCATCACTGAGTCGGTGCAGGCCTACAAGACCACACACCGCAAACGCTGGGTGGTGGACTGGCCTGGCCAGGTGGTGCTCTGTGTCAGTAATGTCTACTGGACCTCGGAAGTGACTGACGCCATGAAGAATGAAGGTGGTCTCAAGGTGAGAGCTTTGGATTGTTTATTGTTTCTACATTTTTTTTGGTCCTGTTTAATCATATTTTAAAAAAAAATTTTGCCAGCGGGTTCTATCAAGTTTTATAAGAGTATTTAAGTGAGTTTGCAATTTCTTTGTGTGTATACAAGTGTCAAAACACAAGAGCCAATTTTTGGTTTGAACCTAGCACTTCATGACAAGTAACTCAAATGGGGCTTCTTTTTTTAATTCATTATTTTAACTCTTTGATCTTGGACAGAATATGTCAAATGTAGGTATTCTTTTGAGGGGAACATCTTTATCAGAATGTGAAGGGATCAACTTATTATTTTGTGACTGATTTTCATTTTCATCTTCTGGTTTGTCCAGATTTATCTGGAGCGCTGCAATCGTCAGATTGATCAGATTGTGGAGCTTGTCAGAGGAAAACTGGAGAGTGGCACGAGAATTACTCTTGGAGCTCTCACTGTCATTGACGTACACGGTAAATACAATGTGTGTTGTATCAGTTTGTATAGGTATAATGAATGTGCTCGATTGAACAATAGGTCCCTTGTTTGTGTTCTCAATGTGTGGGAAATAATTACATGAATAGTTGTAGTAATAAATATTTTAAGTACCCATTGACTCAGTTTAGATCCTGCCATGAGTGTATCTCTTGTGGCTCATAGCGCTGATATCTTTCAGTGGGATCCTGTATTTTGTGAATCACATCACCGGCTCTTTTCTTTTCTTTCAGCCCGTGACGTTCTTGATAACCTGGCAAAGAACAACATCCGCAGCTCCCATGATTTCAATTGGCTAGCCCAGATGCGCTACTACTTTGAGAAGGACGTGATGGTGCACATGATCACCACGGAGATCGCCTATGGGTACGAGTACCTGGGCAATTCTCCACGACTCGTCATTACCCCACTGACTGACAGATGCTACCGGTGAGTTAATTGGGAGAAGCAGAGCACACAGGACAAAGGTTTTGCATGTGGTTTGGGTTGCATATTTGTAGAAGCCTTCTGGTGTTGCTTATTTTGATGGTGTTAGTCTCTAACTGTGAAACTGGAAGAAGTAGGTCAATTCTTTTTATTTTTTGGTTATAAAACCATTATTGGGGTCAATTTGTGGATTGTCAGTAAAAATCAACATGCACTATTAATAAAAATAGTATGAAAGTACTGTGGGCGGCTCATGCATTTTTTGACAAACAGGCTTACATATAAACTCACATATTATGCTAAGTAACCTTCTGGGTTAAAATATTAAAATAACTTACTGTATTCCAAGACACTGATGGGAGCCTTGAAGCAAGTATACGCACACTCTCTCTGTTAAACATGTACACAGAAACAAAATATAAACCCAAACATACACACACAAGTAGTGCAAAACAACCTTCCAGTACTTTTACAGAAGTCAAACAAATGTCAAAATATATTTCAGGACATTGATGGGAGCCTTGAAGCTCAATCTGGGCGGAGCACCAGAGGGCCCAGCTGGCACAGGCAAGACAGAGACCAGCAAGGATCTGGCAAAGGCTGTGGCCAAACAGGTATGTGCCCTGGTCATGTTTATTATACACATGAACTGTCTTATTTAGAACCTCCCCCCCCTCTCTCTCTCTCTCTCTCTCTCTCTCTCTCTCTCTCTCTCTCTCTCTCTCTCTCTCTCTCTCTCTCTCTCTCTCTCTCTCTCTCCCTCCCCTTCTCTCCCTCTCCCCCCTCCCCTGTCTTGCTCACTAATGTTCTTTCACTGACCCATCCCTCCCTGCCCTTCACTCCTTCTATTCCCTATCCTTTTTTCTCTCTCACTCACTTACTTTCTTCCACTTTCTCTAACCCCCATCCTTCTACCTCATTCTCTTGCTCACATTTTCTCCCTCTTTCTCTCTTCTCTCTCTCACACTCTATCTTTCACTCACTCATTCCCTCTTCCTCTCTCTCTCACACACACAAATGTTTTCTCTCCCTCTCCCTGATTCTGCCCCCTACCCCTTTCCCTCTCTCTCTTCCTCCTCCACACACTCTCTTTCTCTCTCACTCACTCATTTCCTCTCCCACTCTCTCTCTCTTTTATTCTCTCTCTCACCCCCCCTCCCCCTCCACTTCCTCACCCTCTCACTCACTCTCTCACTCTCATACACAGTGCGTTGTCTTCAACTGTTCTGATGGTCTCGACTACAAAGCCATGGGCAAGTTCTTCAAAGGTCTGGCCCAGGCAGGTGCGTGGGCGTGTTTCGACGAGTTCAACCGCATCGAGCTGGAAGTGCTGTCTGTGGTTGCCCAGCAGATCCAGAGCATCCAGCAGGCCATCGCAGCTCACCTCAAGCGCTTCATCTTTGAGGGCACAGAGCTCTCCCTGGACCCAACCTGTACTATCTTTATCACCATGAACCCAGGCTACGCCGGACGACAGGAACTGCCTGACAACCTGAAGGTCAGTGGCTTTTGACTGTCTTTTCATGAGTGCACTATGTTATAACAGGATTCAACACTTTGTATTACTTTTACAAAGCACCAGTTGTAGACTGACAATTTATCTTATTATTAAATTGTGTGTGTTTGTGTGTGCGTGTTTGTGTGTGTTTATGTGTTAGAGAGAGAGAGAGATGGAGAGAAAGCAAGAGAGAGAGAGAGAGAAAGAGAGTGGAAGAGAGGATGGAAGGGAGGGTCAGAGAGAGAGAAAATATGAGGGGGAGTGAACGAGAGCGAGGGGAGGAAATGAAGGGATCCAGAAAGAGAGAAAGTGTGAAAGAGAGTGAGAGAAAGGGTGTTAGAGAAAGAAAAGATATCGCTCTTAGCCTGAACTGCCCCTGATTGGCTGGGTCAAAGCAGCCTGCCTCCTGAATTATCTAAATTGTGTTCAATGGAAGCGTAAAACACCAACAATAACATTTTTTTTGCATGGGGTTCTCTCTACAGGTTCTGTTCCGTACCGTGGCCATGATGGTCCCTGACTATGGCATGATTGGGGAGATCCAGCTCTACTCCATGGGCTTTGTGGACGCCAGGAGGTAGGTACTCTATTGCCACCTGTTGGTGGTGGTGGTGATGTTGTTATTGGTGCTATTATTGGTGGTGGTGCTGTTATTGTTGTTGCTTTTGTTGCTGATGGTGATGATGTTGTTGGTGGTGATGTTGATGGTGCTGTTGTTATTAGTGGTGACATTGCTGGTGGTGTTGTTGGTGTCGATGTTGGTGGTGATACAATTGTTGTTTATGGTGATGTTGGTGGTGGTAATGTAGGTGGTGGTGATGCTGTTGATTTTTCTAATGTAATTCTTGGTGCTGTTTGTTTTTGGTCTTGTCTTGATAGTGATAATGGTGTCGTTGTTTTTCATAGTGATACTGGTGATAATATATGCTTTATTGATGTTGTCGTGTTTGTAGATTATAGTGGTTGTGATGGTGATTATTGTATTTCTGTTGTTGTTATAGTTATTGCTGTTATTACTGCTGTTGTTATTTTATTGTTGATGATAGTCCATTCACTCTTTAATCTGATATGCTATCTATCTATCTATCTGTCTGTCTGTCTGTCTGTCTGTCTGTCTGTCTGTCTGTCTGTCTGTCTGTCTGTCTGTCTGCTCTCTATCTATCTATCTATCTATCTATCGTATCTATCTATCTATCTATCTATCTATCTATAACATTAACAACCCCTGATTTCCCTGCTAGTCTGGCCAACAAAATTGTGGCGGTGTACCGGCTGTGCTCGGAACAGCTCTCCTCCCAGCACCACTACGACTACGGTATGCGAGCGGTCAAGTCTGTGCTGACCGCTGCCGGCAACCTCAAGCTCAAGTACCCCAACCAGGATGAGGCTGTCCTCCTGCTCAAGGCCATCAATGATGTCAATCTGCCTAAGTTTTTGGCACAGGTACTCACCACTTGTTTGGTTGCTTGGTTTGGTTAGACTGGCAGTGATTGGGTGGTTGGTTGAATTGTTGGTTAGTTGATTAGATGATTGGTTAATTGAAGTGTTGGTTGGTTGGTAGGCTGGTTTTTTGGTTGGTTGGTTGATTGGTTGGTTGGTTGGTTGGTTGGTTGGTTGGTTCATAGATTGAATTGCTTGTAAGTGTCATGATATTAGGTTTGATGGTAAATTGAATTGTTTATGAGATGATATTAGGATGGTTGGCTGGTTGAAATTGTTAGGTGGTGGATAATATTATGTTGGTAGTTTGATTGGCCCTTTGGCTAGTTGGTTGACTAAATTTTTGGTTTATCAGTTAGTGTTTAGTCTTGTTGTTGGTTGGGAAGTAAAAACATTTGTTGATTAATAGAATAAGTTGGTGAGCTGGTTGTTTAGAAATGCCATGGGTTAGTTGATTAGTAATAACTTGGTTGACTGGCGTGTATTAATTAAATGGTTGTTATCTCCATTCCTTCTTTTTTGTGTTTTGTTACTCTCTTGTAATACCTTTTATCTTACGCGGTATAACCTTATTGTGTTTCAAGTGCTGTAAAACACTTACTGAAACAAAAGTACAATATTAATACAAACTCACAATCTCATCCCCCCCCCCCCCCCCACTCCCTCCCCCAGGATGTGCCCCTGTTTGAAGGCATCATCTCGGACTTGTTCCCTGGCATCAGCCTCCCGCAGGCAGACTATGGTGTCTTCCTGGAGGCCATGAAGGACAACATCAGCAAACGTAAGCTGCAGCCAGTGCCCTGGTTCATCGACAAAGTCATACAGGTAAGACAGTCACGAAATCAGCTTGAGGGGGGATGGGGAACACGGTTCATCTATGAAGTCATTTAGGTGAGACAGAAGCTGATTTGGGGCAAGGAGAAGGAGTGGTTTATGGTAAAGTCATGAAGTTGAGACAGAAGCTGAATAAATAATGGGGGGGGGGGGGGGGGGGGGGGATGTTTCATTGTTGAAGTTGTACGCCTTTATTATTCCTCTGTTTTATCTGGTCTGTCCATGTTGCTTTTTCCCAGCACTAGATGACCATTGTTGTGTTGGTGTGCTCTTCTTCATTCAATCAAAACTAAAACTAAACAGTGTAACTGTTATCCTGTTTTGTTCCTGGACCTACTTTAGGTCTTTTACTTTACAGATTTTATGCAAATAGCAACACATCAGTTTTATTCTCATCATCCTCTTGACCTCACTTTTTTACCTTGACGTTTTGACCTGCTCCTTATGCAGTTGCAAGCACCGTAGATGTGTACAAAATATTTGTTCCACCCCCTTCAGGTGTACGAGATGATCCTGGTACGTCACGGCATGATGATTGTGGGGGAGCCACTGGGCGGGAAGACGCAGTCTTACCAGGTGCTGGCTGCCACACTGAGCGACCTGGAGGATTCAAAGGCCTACGACGAGTATCGCACCATCTACCGCATCATCAACCCCAAGGCCATCACCATGGGGCAGCTCTACGGCTGTTTCGACCCCGTCTCACATGAGTGGTCTGATGGTGAGTTGGAAGTGGGGGGAGGGGGGGAATAGTGGTCCACAGTGGGTTGATGTTGGGTCAGTTCAGGGCTTATTGTTGGTAATGAAGAGGCATGTGGTAGATCATGCATGAATTTGTGGTGGATCATGGACGGGCTCATGGTGGATCATGGATGTGCTGATGAGTCAATGATGGGCTAATGATGGGTCATGGATTGACTTGTGGTGGATCATGGATGGGCTGATGATGGAGAATGGATGGGCTGGTGTTGGATCATGGATGGGCTCATGTCGGGTTTTGTGTGGTCTGACGGTGGGTATTGAGTACTTTGATGATGGATGGCCAGAGTGGTGGGTGTGAATATGTTAGATTACAAGTTTTGTAAATCCGTTTTTATCCTTTCAATTAAGTCAAAGTTTTGAAATTCATACAAACAATTTTTAAAAAGATTGTATATTGACACTGTTTCTCCCCGCTTCCCTCCACCCCACCTCTCCTTCCCCTCCAGGTGTGCTGGCCAACACTTTCAGAGAGTATGCCAGCAACCCAGACAGCAACAGGAAGTGGATTCTGTTTGACGGTCCAGTGGATGCTGTGTGGATCGAGAACATGAACACAGTACTGGATGACAACAAGAAGGTAAGGGAGATGAAGGTGGGGGACTGATGCATATCACTCGCTGTATGGTGGATACCAAACAAACTTAACAAGCCCACTAATAGCTCATTTGGTATCAATATGGGCTATGGTCCCAGTTACCGGGCTTTGAATTCTCACTGATATGTTTTGAACATGGGGTGTTTTGAGAGTTTTCGATGTCTCCATCCACATAGCTCTGTCATCTCAGAAATGAATGTTAGCTTTGAGCGTTCCCCCTTTTGAATAGCCTTACAGTGTTGAAATGGATGCTGAACCCAAACAATATGAAATTTGCAGTACATCAATGTTGGCTGTCTCAGAGGGTGGAAATAGTGTTGTAAGCTCTCAAAATTCCTCAATGTTTAAATATGTCACACGGTGGAATCAAGCGCTCTTCAGTTTTTGGGCATATGGGGTTATTGGTATTATCTTGATGTTTGTTTGTTTGTCTTGCTTTTGATGAAAAAATACCTATTTTGAGTAAAAACTGAGAAACTTGCAATTGAAGGAGATGGAGGTCGTCTGGTGACAGATAAAATTAACGAGAAAATGGCTGCAAAAGTTTGGTAGCTTCCAAAGCTTGAGTGATCTTAGAAACTGCAAATTTACATTTTTTGTTCTTTTGATCTACAGTTTCTATAAAATCCACTCAGAAATGTTTTAAAACGGACATAAAAGGTGTAGAGCCAAAAAAAATCTATAATAACTTTCATATTCCACCACGATGCTACACATATTTAAATGTGTGTTATAAGCAGGAGATTTAATGGCAGCATTAACGATACATCATTCTTAATTTTACAAAAGTGAGGAAAAGAGCAAAAAAATTATAATCAGTAATACGCACATTTTTTACTTATGATGCAACTATTTATGAGTGGCTATGCACCTACCTTTCTTATCCATCCCTCTCAGCTCAAGGGTTATTTTGTAAATATACACATAAAACAGTATATTAGGGTATATTAGGATATTTATCAGATACAAAATAGTGATAATGATGAAGCTCTAGGATGATGGCACTTCATCATGTGGGCTCTTGATGTTTTATGACAAATAAAGAAATTCTCACTGTCTAAAAAACATTTGTTACAAAATATATATGTATTTATCAATATTTATGAATCTGTTTGTGCCTTAGTTGTGCCTGATGAGTGGTGAGATCATCCAGATGAGCAACAAGATGAACCTGATCTTTGAGCCTGCGGATCTGGAACAAGCTTCCCCGGCCACTGTGAGCCGATGTGGCATGGTGTACCTAGAACCTCACCAGATGGGCTGGAGGCCCAGCGTTGCCTCCTACATGGCCTACACACTGCCGCAGAAACTGAAGCAGGAGCAGAAGGAGCTTGTCCAAGATCTTTTTGATTGGCTGGTGAGTGGCTAGGAGGAGGAGTTTGACATATTATACAGTATATACTTGCCTAAAACACAACCTTGCATATATTACAAGGTACATACTTTGACTCCAAAATCAGCTTATTTTTGTTGGTTGCTCATATAATAGCAGGTGAGTTTCTGACATGCTAGAGGGGGCTCAACATGCATGAAATCAACTAGTCAGACATCGAATATACAGTCTTACCTTAAAGAATCGTTGGTTGTTGTATTAACATTTTCCTTCTATTTAGACCTGGAGATAGATTTAAGAAGAATCATTTTCATTCACCTTTACCCCTTCGTGACACAGGGTCTATTCATGCTTCACAGGGAACAGTTTTGGATCCCTAGAGACACAGAGTAGCGCTAGAATTAGTGGTCAGTTTCCTGAGGGTGCGGTGGCAGAGCGGTTAGTGCGCCCGTCTCCGAAGCGGAATGTCCGGGTTCGAGCCCCGTTTTGAACACAGATTTTTTTCACCCCTTCCTGCCCACCCAGCAGTAATGGGCACCTGACTTCGAGCTGGAGAATTAAAGGCGGCGTGCAAAGGAACTGGCCATCCTACCATAATATGCCGAAGGCCCAGGAAGTTGTCTCACTATCAAGACAATCCCCAATGTCCGGACTGGATGCGGGAAAAAACTTTTCCTATAGTCAGCCCCAGTTTGCAAATACTAATAACTATATCCGACAGTAAAAGATTTCATTGTACATAAAAAATATTCTTGAATGTGAATCTGCGATTAGTTTTACGAAATGCATCTAATAGAAGCAGTTTGCAGAAACATCCTTTGCCAAATGGTGTTTTGTCATCATGGTTCCCCTTCTTTGCAAGGCATGACGAACCCCATTGGTCACAGCAGCACCTTGGCTCGTTCGCCATGTAAGAAGTCATATATGTCATGAAGGGGTTACCTCCTGTGTGTCTGGTCGTCCTGCCAGTCATCCTGCATTATGGCAGGGCGAAAGAGCTGTTATTCTACAGGACTGTTTCTCTTTTAGCTCTGACGAATCATGTGAGGAGAGAATATCTTAACATTTATACTCAAAGCTTAATCTAAAAATTCTGGTTGTTCCCATCAGGTTGAGCCATGCCTGGACTTTGTCCGGCGTAAGTGCAAGACATTCCTGTTTACGTCAGAGATGCACCAGGTACAGATGCTGATGACTCTCTACTCTGCTCTCATGGACGAGATCAACGACTCACTCAATGCCATGCCGGAGGAAGGGGAGGAGCCACCGGAGAACAGCCAGGAGCACCTCACTCCACAGCAGGTGGGGGAAAGTTTGTGTATTAGAGGGGGGGATGGGAGGGGTGAATGCTTGGGGATTAGAATATGTGTATAGGAGGGAAGGGGAATAAGGGGCCAGGGGGGGGGGGGGTAGTGGAAATAAAGGGGAAGGAACCAGAGATGGTGAGGAAGGGGCAAGATCAGAACCAGGGGCTTCTCAATTTGTAAATGGGGAACTGATGAAGATGGGCTGGAGGGAGTGGTTAGAGGAGGAGGGGGATGATTGTTGAGGAGAAGAGATTATTGGTGGGGAGAGATGCAGGGAGTTATGAAGAGGGGATTGATGAAAGGAGGTGCTGGGGAGAGAGACTACAGGAACACTTTGTGTAATACCAGCTATATGATAAGTCATTATGAGACGTTGAGAGAGAAGAAATAAAGGTGAAAGGAAGAATTAGTGGGAAAGAAAGAGAGGGGGAGTGAGAGAGAGAGACAGAAGGAGAGGAAGATGGAATGGAAAAAGAGAGAGAGAGGCAGAAAGAAAAAAGGAGAGACAAACAGACAAAGAGAGGGAAACAGACTGAAAAGGGAGGGGGGGGGAGGAGTATCTATGTACAAGAGCTAAGTAAAGTTTATGAAAGTTTGATAATTTTGTAGACAGATTTTGTGCATTCTGTGTATTATATGTGATTTGTGATAGTTTTAGAAGGAAAATTTTTTTTTACCATTGCATGTGTGAACCTTGGTAGATCACGCTGTGGCTACAAGGCATGTTCCTGTTCTGTGTGGTCTGGACTATCGGAGGGACTGTCCAGGGGGACAGCAGGAAGCATTTTGACGAGTTCTTCCGCACGCTCATCAGCGGCACAGATGACAAGCACCCTAAACCAAAGAGCATAAAGATCACCAAGGTATGTGTGTGTTTGTATTTTGGTGCTGAGTTTGCGGCAACTGAGGAATTTGGAGGTCAATGTCTGTCACAAATTGTCTGTATCATTGGGGGGGGAGGTGTTATTTTAAAAAAAAATTATTATATTAATTGTTATTATTAGAAATATGATTTTTATTTATTAGAATTATTATTATCATTATTGTTTTTATTATCATTATATATTTGAAAACTGAACTGTGAGGAACTTGGAGGGAAATGTCTACCATAAATTGTTTTTACCATTGTTATTTTTATTGTTCGTAGTCATTACATCTGTTGATATTAATTAGAAATATTGTTTTTGTTTATCAGTATCCTTATTGTTGCCTCACTTGTTTCCATTGTTTCTATTATTATTTACATAGTTTGGAGCTAAAACTGTGAACTGTAGTTAAAAAGTATAACTATTGGTGTCGTTGTTATCGATCCAGTTCTATTTTTGTGGACTGGGGTGTCTGTGGACTGTCTGCCCACCCTGAGAAGGGGCCATTCATGTTGAGGATAGAAGGGCACAAGGGGTTTTCATGAGCCTGGAAAGACCTAACTGCTCTGTGACCATGTAATTCCGGTAGGGACCACGTTGCCCATTCCCCGCCACCAATGGCTAGTGGCTAAGTTTTCTAATCTTTCATGAGGTATCGGCCAAGTGGAAAAGCCATTGGATCGTCACGTCCTGGGTTGTTGTGCCTTTACTAAGAGGTCCACTGTCAGAAAGCAAGTCAGGCATTTCGCTCGGTCCATCTTCTGCACCGAGACACTCTCAAACTGGCTGGTACCTTCTCAGCCACAGAGGATGTGTTGATAAAAAGCAGTAGAGGTGTTAGGTAGATTAGACACCCACTCAAGGGAGAGTAGGGGTATGTTAGTGAGGAGCATAGCGTCTACCACGCATCGGTGGGATCTGCCTCCTGCACCTTGTGGGCCACACCTGCTCCCATCCTGTTGTTTTAACCCCTCAAGGAAACGGGGGGGGGGGGGGGGGGGTTGGTTTGTTGGCGCCAACAACTCGCCATTCGCCAGAGCCGTGTCAGTGAAAACAGGGATCACCACGGACAGGTACAGTTGGCTGGATTGGGAGAAACTGTTTGAGACGCTTAGGCATTTCTCAATATTTAAATGAGACCCATCACCAGTCCTTGACCCCCAACTGTAGGTGTAAATTATAATTGTAAACTATATGTGTGAATTGACACTGTAAACGCTTACTGTGAGTTGTAACTGCATAGAGCTCCTTCCACTTTGTTTCCCCCCTTTAGAGCAACTCATTCCCCGAGAGGAACACTGTATTTGACTACGCCTTCCACAAGAAAGGCAGCGGAGGCTGGCAGGACTGGATGGACACAGTGAACAAAGACGATGCAGCCATTCCTGCCAACGCTAAGGTAGAGCATGGTTGTTTGAGTAGTTTGAGTAAAGAGACGCCCATCTGGAGACACAGTAACTGTCAATTAGTGCTTGGAAACAGCAAGATAGATAGAAAAAACAGAGGGAAATACATGAAGTAGAACCTACTAGTGGCATCATCCAACCATCCATTGAAGATCATTGTACAGAAATTACGGGCAGGGGCTAATATTGTGGTATGAGTGTCCCTTCAGAGGTGAATAATGCATTAGGAGGGGTTCCCTTGAAAGGATATACATTCTTTAGACAATGTTTTTGGAGAAAAAGAATTTAAGGGGGCCCATCTTCTTTTCTTTTTCAAATTCAGGATTTACAGCTGGCTGTAAATTGCTCCAGTTTTTGATAGCAGCCTCATAAGTGTTCCCTGTGCTTATTGCACTTGTTAAACACTCCTTGGCAGTTGAAAGTAGATACGCTTTCAAAACTCTAAATCAAAACCTACCCATTACATAATCACTTTGGTTGGTGCATAATGGTACTCAGATATTTTGTAATTTATGAAGGGGACATGGTTTTGTTGCTTCTTTTATTAAGATTTTCTGTGCGTGCAGTTCGTTTGTAAAGTGTACTGAAAAGTCATTCATCATTTTGATTGGAGCAGAATGTTATAGATATGTCCCAGTCAGCTGAAGCATCTGACACAGCATTTGGTATCTTGATCTCCTGATCTCCGTGACTTGTGTCTGTAGGTGAGTGACCTGACAATTCCCACTTCGGAGACAGCTCGCCAACAGTTCTTCTTGCACTTGTACATGTCGCATGACGTGCCACTCCTGGTCATTGGACCCACAGGCACAGGAAAGTCGGCTATCACCAACAGCTACCTACTGCAGCTGCCCAAGGAATCGTGAGTTGGATGAAACGTGCTAGGGAGTCATGTGCTTATTAATGTGTTGTGTACTGGTTATTTGACTTGGGCAAGTCAGTGTGTTGACTGCTCATTAATGCATTGTCTAGTGGTTAGTGTGTTGTCTGCTAGTCAGTGTGCTGTTTGCTAGTATGCTATTTGTTAGTCCTTGTGTCAACGGCTAGGCAGCGTTTTGTCTGTTAGTTAGTGTGTCAAGAGTTTTGTTGTCTTGTCTAGAAATTTTTATGAAATGCAGTAATTGATGTGTTATGTTACATATGATGCTATTTTGCCTCATACTCATAGTTAACATTGCCTCATACTCATAGTTAACGTTTTCTTGATTTTCTAAAAAAATCTGATTTTACTTTCTAATGTTCACATCAAAATAATAAATTCACTGACTAAAAGAGGATGCTGCTTTTTAAAGGTATCTTCATACAGTGGAGTCATTTGATAGATCTTTTTAACTGAGTTAGTAATGAGTTGTAAAAAATCATTGTGTACTGAGTGATAATTTCTGTCTCTCAAAAAAATGATTGAGTCTAAACATATTTTTATGTTTAAGATTATCCTCCTGAAGAGTCCAGTGTCTTCTGAAAACGTTCACTTATCTCAAACTGTCCACTAAAAACATTTACATGTACTGTCTCCACTATCTTTTTGAAATGTTCACCTGTCTCAAACTGTCTACTCTCCAGGTACATTCCTAACTGCATCAACTTTTCTGCCCGAACTTCTGCCAACCAGACTCAGGACATTGTCATGTCCAAGTTGGACAGGTAGGCACCTGGACTCTTTCTTGCAGTACATGTCACTGACTGCATGCTCTCACACAGTGGCATGATATGGGCACAACGCCTGTTTTAAATAATGCATTTATTGAAGAGGCACAACAATCTGTGATGCTGAAATAATACATTTCGTCATTTCGACTGCTCAACGCAAGCTTCTGTCATACGTCACTTTTCAAAATGGGGCGTGGCGGAGTATTACACTAAGCACTCAATCTGTTTTCTGTTGTTGCTGTGAGTGGGATATTGATGTTGGGGCTTCTTTTCTACATCCTTTCTATCCTTCTTTCTACCCTTTTTCTTTCCTTCTTTCAATCATTCTTTCTTTTCTTCTTTGCAATGAATTCTTTTCTTTTTCCTTCTTCCAGTCATTCTTTCTTTTCCTCTCTCTTTCTCTCTTTGTTTACATTGATTTCTGCTTCTGTCTTCACTTCTTTCTTCTTTATTTCCTTCATTCTCACAGTCTTTCTTTTCTTCTTCCTTTTGCTTCAATCTCACAGCTTGGTGAAGCTCCGTGCCTTTGTAAAAATAATAATAATAATAGATAGCATTTGTATAGCGCATATCCTCGCTCAACAGCAGGCTCTATGCGCTTTACACTATATTATTACCCCAGCAGACCATAGAACACTCCGAAACATTCTCAGCTTCCAGGGAAGCATACAGTGAAATATGTGTGTAATAACTTGTTTAACACAATCAACATCCGCCCCCTCCTCCTCCACCCGCCCCTTCCCCTAAACCATGCTTTCAATCACTCGATCATGACTAAAAAACCAAGCCATAAATCCAATGTTGTTGTACCATCAGGCGTCGTAAAGGTGTGTTTGGTCCCCCCATGGGCAAGAAGTCTGTAGTGTTTGTGGATGACCTGAACATGCCGGCCAAGGAGAAGTATGGAGCCCAACCTCCCATTGAGCTGCTCCGACAGTGGATCGACCACGGACACTGGTATGATAAGAAGGACACATCCAAACTCTTCCTCACAGATGTGGTAAGATTATTTTATGTTTGAAACTTCTTAATCAACCTAGCAGTTCACTCAATAGGGCCTCAGTCACAGTATCTTGGTGCCAGAAAGGGAATTCTGCTGTATCCTGAATGTTTTTGAAGGGTCTGTAAACTTTCAAAAAGATATAAGTAGCAATGCCAATCGCCTGCTGCGCCTTGGGCCGGAAATCGGCCTCTGCGGGAGGGGTAATTTTGGGGCCGCTCGGAATCAGAAGTGACTCTCTTCTAAGTATAGTTATGGGAAAACTTGTGGACAAAAATAAATGAAACTCGGCAACCAATCAGAGGAAAGGTTAAACTAACAACAGGCCAGCGTACAATCCCGAACGATTTTTAGAACTGGAGATATTGCCGTGTTTGTGCGAATGTCCTCTGCGGTTTGAAAACCAAGCGGAGCTGCGGGTTGATCGCCAACCATACAGGCGCCCCACATGTCTTCTTTTTTGCTGTAAAATTTCAGATTTCTGCGTTCAGTACATTTTACGTACCAACTTAAAATTACCACCCATCCATTGATAAAACACTAGAGCTGGAAACAAGATCACGCATTCCAAATGCGAAGTGCCGGCATGCAAGAGGTGCGTGAAGGCTAGGAGGCATGGGATTGGCTACCTATAACTAAATAGGTCGCCGATGACTTCATCGCGGGTTTTCCCAATAGCGCTTTACTGAGTTTTAGAAGTGGTGATCGCGTCGCGGTAAAAACGATGTCACGCAATTCAACAAATTTCACTCAAATATCAGTCTTTAAGATCCAAAGTAATAAAGACATTGAAAAAGTGATAGCAGAACTAGATTTTCCACTAAAAATCACATGAAGATGCCAAGTTTCATTCATATGCTCCGATTCATTACTGACTTATGAACAGTTTTTCCTCAAAATACATCAAGACATGTCCCACATTTTGGCGATATTTTCCTATATGAAGTTCCTCCAACATTTTGCAAACAAAAATCCCCATAACTTTTTTATTTATCAATGGATTTTAAAAATTAAAAAAACATAGTTCTTAGAATTTACTCTATTTTCTTTTAAGCCCATTTTTAAAGCAATTTGGATGAAAATTAATTTTTTCATTGTTATTGCTAATATATGTCTTTTTTGTTTAAGATGGAGTTTTCCATCAGGGTTGATCCCTAACAATTTCAGCTCTTTTTTATGACAGGAATTTACCTGTCCCTCTCTTCTTCCAGTCTGCTTTTCTTGTTTTGTTTCTGCACACTAAAGCAGACTCAAGTTTTCTGTGCACTGCAATTTGAAAATGATAAAAAATGTTGAAACAATAAATTGATGTCTTTGTCAAAAGGTCTTTCATGGTTGAGACAAACTTTTAATTCATCTTCCTAAGTTCAAGTCTGCTTTGTTTTTATGACTCTTTGTACCATCGTTTGTTCATCTAGTATGTCTAGCATGGTGTTCCTAAAAATTTGAAAGGGATTCTATCTGATTTTGCCTTCAGGGTGGTGCTTTTTTGTTGTTGCTATGTTAACCTGGTACAGTAGTCTCCGCCTAAACGCACGGTGCTTGGGAGGTCTCCTTAGCGTGTGTTTATACGGAGCGTGCGTTTATATGAACCTTTGCAAGGGGAGGAAGGGACGCAGTCATCTCAATTCTTTATCACTCTAGTAATCTCCCTTGGAAGGAGAAGGGGTCATTTTGGCAGATAATGTGACGACACGTGACTGTTTTGTGAAGGATTCCCCGACTGGGTTTAAGAATACAAAGGCGTAAAATGGGGGTGGTGGGGGGGGGGAGGGGGGTGGAAGACAGACTCAATGTAATGAATAATATGCACTAGGCCTATAAACGTCGGGAACAGATAGCGTAAGAGGAAACTGTTGGAGATAGTCATAGAGACGACGGCCCAGCCACGTGGCTTTCCAAGCGACCACCCCGACCGTAAATTCATGCAGAATCATAGATCTCTACATTCAGAGAAACATTTCTTTTGTGGTTCGTTGAACAAGTACGTTATAACTTCTTTGAGTGGAACTGATTAGGCTTACTTGGCTAATCTTTAGATCTAATCCTATAGAGGCCTGTCTAGTGTTTTACGGCATTTACGCGTGTCGTGCATCAGGCCTAAATCTAACTAAACATTACTAGCACTCAGTCAAACACCAGTCAGAAACTTTCTCTCAAAGAAAGGCACATTATATGTGAATGTCTCAGTGGAAAGTTGGATGTGAAAACTGAAAACGCTGTCCTTCATTCTCTTTGATCGGCGTGAGGGGCACGCTCACCAATTTTCTAGGCTTGTCTTATGCAAGCTGTGCGGGTTGTAGTGAAAATTTCCCCTTGTCATGCTTTTCTTGTCACTTGTCGGTGTGTTTTGCGGATCGGAGCGTGCGTTTAGAGGGAGCGACCGTGCGTTTGTATGTCTAAATTATATAGTAAAATACCCGTTAGATGACGAAAGCGTGCGTTTGAGCAGAGTGTGCTTTTGTATGGCGTGCGTTTAGGCGGAGACTACTGTAACTGAGTCCATGTCCCTCTGTTGGCCAAGTTTGACATTGTCATTTTGTTCCTGTCTCTCACAGCTGTTTGTCAGTGCCATGGGTCCCCCTGGTGGTGGGCGTAATGACATCACCTCCCGGTTCACCAGACATCTCAACATCATTTCCATTGATGAGTTTGACGATTCAATCATGACCAAGATCTTCACTGCCATCACAGATTGGCATTTTGGAAATGGCTTTGAAGGCTCTTTCATCAGAAATGGAAAGGTATGTGCTAGGGATCATGTTTTATTTGTTGTAGGTGATAGTCATAAGCTTGGCTAATCTTGTGACTTGTTCTTTGGAGGCTGAAAGGCTATTTGGAGTCAAACGTAGTCATTGGGTCAATTCATAGCACACTTTGGAAATGCTGTAACAGATATTCGACCTTTAACCTTTGACATACTAAAAGCAAAATTGTATTTCTTAGTCATGATTTTGTGCTCATCAACTATGATAAACCTAATCACAGTCAAATCTTCTCTAACGGCCACCTGTTTAAGACAATCACCTGTACAAATGATCAGTTCGCACTTTGCCCTTTGCATTTTCTCCACATTATAATGACACTTTAGTGGGTGGTTGGCGGGTGCTCTGGTGTGGTTTGCTCCTTCTTTCCTATCGAACGTCTATCATCCTTATCTCCCCTTCTTCTTTTTTATGTTTGTTACTCTCTTGTAACACCTCTAATCTTCTGGCGCTCATATGACCTTATGCAGTTGCGAGCGCCGTAAAACCTCTACTAAAACTAAACTAATTACACTTTCTAAGACGTCTACTTATCAAAGACAAACATTTTTGTTCTCAACCATGGGTGGCCATCTCACCCAATTTTGACTGTATTCCTAAAGTTAAAATCTACCATTTCTGTTTCTTCTGCTTTTTCATCTTTAGATTTGTAGCATTACTGTTTCTTTTTATGACCTTTTTTTTTCATGTGGTCCATGGTCCTGTACAACTGTTTATTGTGTTATATTGTACTGAGGTGCATTTTCTATCCACTTTTTAATACAAATAGACATCTGTTTACCTTCCAGATGCTAGTGACTGCGACAATGGGTGTGTACAAAGATGCCATTGCCAGCTTCCTGCCCACACCAAGCAAGTCTCACTACGTGTTCAACTTGCGAGATTTTTCACGTGTCATCCGGGGCGTGCTGCTGGTGCCAGCTGCTGAGATGACAGAAGTCGATATGCTGCTAAGACTGTGGGTGCATGAAGTGTACAGAGTATTTTATGACCGTCTCATTGATGATGACGACAGGTAATTGACTCTGCTCTGTGTATGTATATGTGTGTGTGCATGGGGAAAAGGGGAGGGCTGTCAAAAAATATACTAAGTATTTAAGTATTTCATGACCCTGTCATTGATGATGAGGACTCTGTGTGTAGGGGGGCTCAGGAACTTTGTCATTAATGAGATTGACATTCTGAATAATAAGACAAGGATCTCCCCCTCCCTCCCAATCCCCCATTACTCTTAATGCTATTCTCTGTGTGTCTGTGTATAGTTTGATTATGAAAAATTGATCTAATTTGTTTACCCCAGATAAAGAGGTAAAGTGTATTGTTACTCATCGTTTGTTCCTTGATGTATAGTTATAGTTAACAGTTTGTCCCTTTTCTTGATATTTGGTTCTTATTATTGCTTAGCCTGTGTGGTTTTTGAGATACCTATGAAGGTCTTATTTTTAAATTAATACTTCCATTTATTCTTGTTCACAGCAACTTTTTAATCCCCATTTCTATTTTCCCTCACACAGAAATATGTTTTTCAATATTGTGAAGAACAACTGCCAAGACAGTTTCAAACAGAACATTGACAAGATCCTAGGTCATCTATCGCTGAGTGGTAAGGTGGTGGACGATGATATCCGTAGCTTGTTCTTTGGTGACTACCTCAACCCGGAGAACAAAGTCTACAAGGAGATCACAGATCTGAAAGAGCTCACAGCTGTCATGGAGCAGTGAGTCACAAATGTCTCTTTCACAAATGTCTCTTTATAACAAATATCTCAATGTCACAAATGTCTCTTTATCACAAATATCTCTTTGTCACAAATGTCTTTCACAAATGTCTCTTTATAACAAATATTTCTATGTCACAAATGTCTCTTTATCACAAATATCTCTTTGTCACAAATGTCTCTCTGTCGCAAATGTCTCTTAAGCACAAACGTCTCTTTATCACAAATATCTCTTTGTTTCAAAAGTTTCTTTATCACAAAAGTCTCTTTGTCACAAACTTCTCTGAGTGGTGGGTGTCTTTTGGTTATGCTCATCTCTTACTGGCTGACATCTGTTACAGTAGTGCTCAGAATTTTCATTTGGTTATTTTGATTTTTAAATGTTTGAATATTACAAGAGAGGGATATCTGGCAGTGAGTTGAAAAGTATACGAGTATTCAAGTTGTGCTTATAAAATTATCTGTGTCTTTTTCTGACTGTGTGTGAATCTACAGAGGGGGCTAGCCTTTTTAATATCTGTTGTCTCCTCAAATGCAAAACCAGTTCAGTTGATATGCATGTTTCATAAATCTTTCTTATATTTAATTTCTATTTAAAATGTAACCTAGAACCTTACAAGTATCTCATCTTTTCACTTTCTTGACCTGGTTTGGGTATTGTTACAGTCCCATGTCAGTGCCTGTGACCATCTTCTCATGCTCAGCATAATACATTCATTGTGTGGTATTGTGTTACCCTCGCAAAAATAGGAAAGATTTTTCACTACTGCTTAATTTTTTATGCTTTTGCTTTTGATGCCATAGATAGATTCCGAGGGTCACAAAGTTTTTTTCCAAAAGAATTTTTCACTTTAAATTTTGTTGTGAATAGTTGATCTCACAATTTACCATTCCAGTGACTTATCAAACATTTATGATCACTTCACGACATTCATTTTTACATAACTGGTTGATATCTCTGTAGATGGGTGCCTCACATTAAAATTTCAACAAAGATTTCATTCAGGTCTCACAGAATTGACTCATCTCATTTCATTTGGCTTGACACTTAGTCAAAATTTGTATTCACTGCTGCTTTTGTCCTCTTCTCTCACACCTCTGTCCTGTTCACTCACACATCTGTCCTGTTCACTCACACCTCTGTCCTCCTCACTCACACATCTGTCCTCTTCACTCACACATCTGTCCTCTTCACTCACACCTCTGTCCTGTTCACTCACACATCTGTCCTGTTCACTCACACATCTGTCCTGTTCACTCACTCCTCTGTCCTCTTCACTCACACCTCTGTTCTCTTCACTCACACCTCTGTCCTCTTCACTCACACCTCTGTCCTCTTCACTCACAACCCACCTGCATGTCTCCCCCTGCTTGCGTCCACAGCTACCTAGAGGAGTATAACATTGTCAGTAAAGCCCCCATGAAGTTGGTCATGTTCAAATTTGCCATTGAGCACATGTCACGTGTCAGCCGTGTGTTGTTGCAAGACAATGGACATGCCCTACTTGTTGGTAAGTGTGTCTCAGAGACTTGACATTTTAATGCAGTGACTACTCACAGAGTTCTAAACTTTTCAGTTAATGGTTCTTTAGCTGACATCCTGAGATGGACAGTATTTGCAAATTGACGTTTGGTTTGAAATTTGAAACAAGTGACATGACATATCATGTCTGCAACTTTTCATCCTCTTCAGAGAAAGGTCCGGGCGACTCCAACAAGACCTTTAAAATTCAAAACTTTATATTATTTTACCATTCAGTCTAGTAGGGAACATGCAGCGTTGCTGTATGTTATGTACAAATCACTGTTATCACATAATATGTTATCTTTTTCAAAAGCCAAGAATGCATTTCTGTCTTTATGGACCGGAGGATAACAGAAACATGGGAAATAGTATAAAGTTTTAAGTTCTTGTTGTTTTAGTTTCACCTTCTGAATTGTAGATCACTGTTCCCTGCCATCACAATAGTGTTATCTAGTGAATTGTGTGTAAATGTGCCAAGCCATCACCCAAGTTTTAATTTGTGAATGGTGGATGTAATGTGTTGTGCTTTCACTTTGGTGTTATTCTGAGAATTTCATCACTTAAGTGTTACTTTGTGAATGATTGGTCATTGTGTTATTTCACCACATTAGCATTGCTTTGTGAATAATGAGTCATTGTTTCGTACTATCCCCTTAGTGTTACTTTATGAATGTTGAGTCTTGGTCATCATGCAGTCCATTAGCATTACTTTGTGAATGTTGGGTTAGTGTGCCATGTCATCACATTAGTGCCACTTTTCTGACACTCGTTTATTTTGTTGATTCATGATAGTATGGCTTCTCTGACTGCACAATGCTTTCTTCTGCCAGGTATTGGGGGCTCTGGTCGCCAAAGTGCAGCCAAACTGGCAACCTTCATGGCAGACTACGAACTTTTCCAGATAGAAATTACCAAAAACTACGGCATTGCTGACTGGAGAGATGATCTGAAAAAAGTGAGTGCATTTTGTAAGGTTACATTTATGGGGAGATGAAGTTGTACATTTTGTTGATATGAAACCGAGGCTTAGGAATATCAATGTATATAGTCCTGACTGTTTAGTTTGCTTAGCATCTCAACAAGTGTTAGTCAGAGTATATTTTGTCATGTTTTATAATGCTGTATGAAAAGAGGTGAGTGTAATAAAATTTGGAATTCTTCAAAACAATGTGTGCAAAGTCTTTTTTTAAAATTTCAGAGCTCAAGTCTGTTTTCATACCAGTGGTGATTTGAATAGATGTAGAAGCAACTAGTTTTACTCTCCTTGTACAATTAGATGATCGGCAGTTTTCCAGGTTTTGTTGACTGCTTTTAGCAACTGTGCTTTTTTTAAGGGAAGAAGTGTAATGTTAGTCTTGTTTGAGTATTAAGAAGTAGCAAAATTGACAAAATAACATTCTTTAAGCGATGAGCAAGAGTTAGACAAGTAGACAGAAACAGAATAGGGACAATGAGGAAGTAGACCTAGCAGTAGGGCTGGGCCTCCTGACCACTGACACAAGGTAGGTGGAGAAGTACCCCTAGTGAAGTCAATTGAAAGCATTCTTGTCTCTTTTGTTATCCTTTGCTAATGATAGCAATGCAACTACATTTACTTTTAATATGAAACTATATGATGGATGTTTAAAAATGTCTAGGGTTTTTTTCATGTCTTAATATTTTTATCCCTAAAATTTGACTGTATTTTTCATTTCTATTTACTTCTTTTCTAACAGCTGCTACTGAAGGCAGGGACAGAGGGGAAGCAGACAGTCTTCCTGTTCTCAGACAACCAAATCAAAGACGAGTCGTTCATGGAAGACATCAGCATGATCCTCAACACTGGCGACGTACCCAACATCTTCCCGCCAGATGAGAAAGCCGATGTCATTGAGAAAATGCAAACTGTGGCTAGAAATGAGGTGATTCTTTTTTTTTATTCTGTTCAAGTCTGAGTCTCTGCTTCAGATCTCTGTTTCAATTAAGTCCTTGTAAGGCTTGGAAGTCTGGAGATCAGATGCTTATCTTCATCATCATCATCATCGCCTTTCTCACCCTGCACCAGGGTATAGGCCACAGACAAACACCTTCCACCTTTCTCTATCCTGGGCTAGCCTCTTGATGTTGTTCCATGTCTTCCCACTTTTTTGTACATCGATTTCTGTGAATCTTCTCCAGGTTCCACGTGGTCTTCCCCTTGATCTCTTACCTAGTGGGTTCCAATCCAAAACTTTCTTTGTTATGCTGCTGCCCGACTTCCTGAGAGTATGTCCTTAGGACCTTTGACTTTGCGGGGTGGATCCTCAATCCAACAGACTCTGATAGGCTGTTTAATACTAAAGTCTTTGCTTGCATCTGTTCCTGGATGTGCAACAGAAGCGCCAAGTTGTCTGGAAAATCCAGATCGTCTAACTGTGTCCATGGTGTCCACTTTATACCATTTCTGTGTCCTCTGGTGGTTTCCTTCATCAGCCAGTCGACTGCCAATATGAAGAGGAAAGGTGATAGTAAACATCCCTGTCTTCCACCAGTCTTGATGTCAAAGTTGTCAGTGAGCTGGCCATCATGTACTACCCTGCAACTTGTCTCTTCGTACATGCTCTTGAGGAGGTTCACCAACTTCTGTGGGATTCCGTGGTGTCTCATTATCTTCCATAGTGTTGCTCGATCTATACTGTCAAAAGCCGTCTCATAGTCAAGGAAGTTGACGATCAGCTGGGAGTTCCACTCTAAGGACTGTTCCACAATAATCCTCGGCATGGCAATTTTGTCGGTGGTTGAGCAATTTTTCCGGAAACCAGCCTGTTCATCCCGTAGTCTTGGATCTGTTGCTGTCTTGATTCTCTCCAGAATGATTCTGTTGAAGACCTTACCTGGTATTGAGAGAAGAGTGATCCCTCTGTAGTTGCTGCTGTTGCTGAGATCCCCCTTTTTTGGAAGCTTTATGAGGTGTCCTTCTTTCCAATCCTTTGGGAACTTGCTCTCATTCCAGATCCTGGTAAACAGTGGGAGGAGGAGGTCTGCCGTCACATTGGCATCTGCTTTTAGGGCTTCAGGTGGAATCTGATCAGGACCTTTGTTTAGCTTCTTAACGGCATCCAGAATCTCTTGTTTTGAAGGAGCATCACAGCAGACTGGTAACTTATTTCTTGCTGGCAGGATGTTTGCTGGGTTACTCGGTGGTGGTCTGTTCAGGAGACTGTTGAAATCGTCTACCCATCCTTTAGACTGAGCTTCTTTTCCAAAAATGGTTTTCCCCTCTTAGTCCTTTACTGGTTCTTCAGGTTTCCTGTATTTTCCAGCAAGTGTCCTTGTGGTCTGGTATAGGATTCACATATGCCCTCCTACCGCTGCTTCCTCTGCCAGCCTGATCATGAATTCCTGCTTGTCTTTTCTTAGTGATTTCTTGACTTCTTTAGCCGTTGTCTTGTACCGCTCCAATGCATCCACTCTTGATCCTCTTGTTCTACTTGCTTTCGCTTCTGCCTTCAGTTGTCTTCTTATCCTAATTAAATCCAATGAGTTTTGGCTAATCCTTTCCTTGTGCTCTCATTTCTTCGCACAGAGTACTTCTTGACATGTTGATGTAAAGACTTCTTTGACCTTGGTCCAGTGTGTATCCACCTCTGTGTCCTCTCTGCAAAGATCAGCCAGAGGTTGAAATCTGTTCCTCAGCTGCAGCTAAAACTCTTCTTTCTTATGTCCGTCCAAGAGACTTACTTGGAACTTCGTTCTTTTGATTCATTTGCTGGTTCGGTGCTTTTTGAGTCGAGGTTTGAGTTTTGCCAACAGCAGATGATGATCCGATCCAACATCTGCCCCTCTCTGTACTTTGACATCTTCCAGTGAATGCCTGAACCTACGAGAGATACAAAAATGATCTATCTGGTTCTCCGTCACTCCATCTGGCGAAACCCATGACGCCTTGTGAATCCTCTTTTGGGGAAAAACAGAGCCTCCAATGACAAAACTGTTGAAAGCACATATATTTGCGAATCGCTCACCGTTCTCATTCATTTGTCCCAAGCCTTGCTGTCCCATAATTCTTTCATACCCCACATTGCCTTGACCAATCTTGGCATTAGCATCTCCCATTATGATGTTGACATTCTTCCTTGGTAGTTTGTCGATGATCCCCTGGAGCTGTGCTGGCTGTAAAAGGCATCCTTGTCTTCATCCGAAGCATCATTTGTTGGGGTGTAGATTTGGACTATATTCCTGTTGATGCTCTTGCTCCTTGTAGTGAATGAAGCCATGATGATCCTCTCCCGTGTGGTTCCCATCCTCTAAGTGACTTTGGTGTGTACTTTAAATGATTCCCACTCCTTCCGCATGGTGCTTGTCTTCCCTCCCAGAATACAATACTTGTTCCCCCGAGCTGAGCTGCTTCTGTCCAGACTGTATCCAGTGTGTTTCACTGACTCCTAGTATGTGCAGCCTGTATCTCTTCATCTCTTGTACTACTTGAGAACTCTTTCCTACTTCATACAAGGTGCCAACATTCCACGACGCAATCCGGAGAGACTTGTTCGACAGAGAAGGTTTCGGGTCAGAAGAGTCTTTTCGGCTTTGTCCGCTGTCCTTCATGGTTCCTGCTGATGCAGAAGCTCCTCCGTCTCCCAAGATTGAAAAATAAAAAGCTGTGTTTGTGTTTCTGTAACTTACTGTTTTTTACTGGGTCGGGTTGTTGGCCCTCCGCAAACTGGCTCTTTTCGGGCGACCAGACCTTTTCACTTTAGTCGTGTCTTACAACACACAGTATCACGGCAGGTGTATTCTTTGCTCCCCCAGAGTGCCCCCCACCTGCAGGGGCAGGATGCTTATCTTACATGGTTCAAGCCTGGAATCAGCTGTCAGGGTCAGTTGATAATTTTGGCATCTTATATCCGGTTTTGTCTCATCCATGGTCCCAGGGTAGAGGATGATATTGAATCTCTGGTCCTATCAAAGTTCTTGTGTGCATGTTACATTCATTAAAGCTTTATGTTGAAGAAAGGCAGCAGTAACCAGAGGTACATAAAAATGTAACCTTTTTTTTGCAGGAATATCTAAGAGAATAAGTCTATATTTCTTTGTCTCCATGATTTCTTTTTTTACATTACAGGGCCGTCGTATGGAGGCCACCCCACTGGCCATGTACAACTTTTTCATAGATCGTGTGAAGAAACATCTTCACATTGTGTTGGCAATGTCTCCCATCGGTGATGCTTTCCGCAACAGACTTCGTATGTTCCCATCTCTCATCAACTGTTGTACCATTGACTGGTTCCAGGTAAGCCTGCCGGATACTGTACCATGAGTGGTAGAGAATGTGCAGACAAGTGGTGCTTGTCTTCACAAAAACTTATATCGACGTATCACAGTCTCTCTCTTTCTTTCTCTCTATCTCTCACTCTATTTCTCTCACTGTCTCTCTCTCTGTATCTCTATTTTTCTCTCTTGCTCTCTTTGTATCTCCCTCTACCTCTCTCTCTGTCTCTCTCTCTCTCTCTGTCTCTATCTCTTTCTCTGTCTGTCTGTCTGTCTCTTATTCTTTTTTTTTCACTCTCCCCCTTCTTCCTAACACATAACTGGGTAGATCTATGATGCATATATGTGAAATAAAATGTGAGCATGAAGACAACTTTATGCATAAAAAATCTTTAAAAGTGTGACCATCATTTTATCGATGTGTTGTCATCTTGAACTCAACGAAATGTAAAACAAAGAGCAGATGGTTGAAAGGTACTACTGGTAATTTCTGCTTCTTTTCTTTGCATCTGTTGTTTCTGTCTGTCTGTTTTTACTTTTACCATGCTCTAAACGACATTTATCATAGCGATGTGGATTGTCTATACTCAAAAATACAATTAGGATATTTATCTGAACTTTGACTGAGATGTTCTGTCTCACTCTGTAGGCCTGGCCTGAGGATGCCCTGGAGATGGTGGCCAACAAGTTCCTGGAGGAGATCGAGATGGAGGACGCCATGAAGTTGGAGACTGTCAGCATGTGCAAACATTTCCACGAGTCTGTCAGGCTCACTTCTGAAAGGTAAGCTTCTCACTTTTAACACTTTTTATAATCATATGGTGAATTAAGGAATACTAAATTTGCACATGTTTTTAAAATTGTTTTTGCAGTTTTTGATTATTTCAAAAAGGTAAACATTTACTTCTTTTTTGCTTTGTCAGCTATAGGCTACTGTGGAAAGGCTAACATTTGTAAGTTTGGAAAGAATTTTGCAGCCAAATGTTGGCTTCTTAATGAACAACATATACACATTTTTTGGTTTATAAACAAAGGCTTGTTTAGAAAGACAAACTTTTGCAATGATTTTTTGTATTCATGGTCAGGAATTAACTTCAAAAAGTCATTTGATTCTGTTCATAGCATTTCTCTTGTTTTTGGTTATCGTGGTGCTTAAAGACAGTTGTTACATTTTACACTGGTACTATTTTTGGTGTTAATCTCATTGACAAAAGAAATATTTACCTCATGAAAGGAACAGAGAGAGTGACACAAAAAAAAGTGAGTTTAGAGTTAATATTTTTAACAAATTCAGATAAACAGAGAGGTGAATTGTTGGACTAGACTGCTTTATTACCACTTGTTTCTTCTGTTCCAGATATTTTGAGATCCTGCGACGTAAAAACTACGTGACCCCAACATCATATCTTGAGCTCATCCTCACCTTCAAGTCACTTTTGAGTGTCAAACGAGATGAGCTGATGACTTTGAAGAATCGATACCTGGTGGGCTTGGAAAAGTTGGAGTTTGCGGCCTCACAGGTGAAGAATTATATCATAATGTCCTGTGAGTTGCTAAATAAGATTCCAGGAGAAGAATCCTGGAGTTTCCTGCACCCTTTGCTGTGGTGCCGTTTGAATAAAAAAATCCTTGCTAACAGTAATCTGGGTCAGTTCGGGATTTGTGCTCAAACTTAATTTAAGTGAAAATATTCTGATCTTTATTTCTTATTTTGGTTTTGATACTTTCTGTCCTACAAATAATCAATCATATTGAGGTTGGACAATTTGAATAGAAGTCATTGCTTTAATAGTGTTTTGTTTTTTAAAATTTCCAGCAAAAATTAGATACAATGTTTTTAATTAAAACGGCAGAGTTTGTGTCTTGTGATACTGTTAATGATTTTGGCAGAGGCTCAGTGTTCATGTGCTTTCACAAAGATAGCATTAGTTATGTTGCTTTCAACATTTAATGTTGAATAGGTATAATATGATGTGTTTTTGGTTGTGATCTAGGCAAGTCATTTAATTGTTGCCAGCAAGAAAAAAGTCAAGGGTTCTGTTTCCAACATTACATGTTACTGGTTACTATTTTATTTTAGCCAGGTTGTATATAAAGTCTTCTGCTCTGTTGAGTTTTGAGGCAAGTGCCCACTAGGCTGTTTTCTATGAGATCCAATATTTGTTTGTCAATGAATCTTCCTAAACATTTACATTTTGATGTTAACTTTATCTGACTGTTTGAGCATTCACAAATATTTATTCTGTGGACATCTTCAAACACTTCAAGGGTTCACAGAATTTAACTTTTCTGACGATATCAATTTGTATACGAGTGTGCAAAGTATAATTTTTTAATGATGACGTCACTAGGTTGGTCAAGGGTTCTCAAAACTTCAGTTTTGAATGATGACGTCATCGAAATTGCGTGTGTAACCCAGTGCGCTCTGCTTCTCCTCCCAGGTCTCTGTCATGCAGCAGGAGTTGACGGACCTGCAGCCCGAACTGATCAAGACCTCAGCTGAAACAGAAAAGCTCATGATCAAAATTGAACAAGACACAGTCGAGGTGGAGGCCAAGAAAGAGGTAAGAACACATCCATCTTGTAGTTTTGTTGTCTACTGGAAAATGAATATTTCAGAGTGCTTTAAAGAATCCCAAAATATTTGAGATTTTTCAATGACATTGTCACCTCCTGCCAACACTGCCACCTCCATCGCATACTCCTGTTTTTCAACTGCTTCCACCCCCAAATGATTTTCAAGAAATAGATAGCCCTGCCTGAACCTACTGCTGAAACTTGTAGGTGATTTACAGTAGCTTTGAATTAAATCTTTTTTTGTGTGGAAACATTGGAAATGTGAACTGCGTCCACTTTTAAGTGCAATTCAGAAACTAGTCTTTGGTAGGGATACTCGAGGATTTTGCCATTCATTTCTGTTTGAGTTAACTTTCTTGTCTTTCTTAATCTGTTGTTGGGTACCATTCACCTGTTTCTGAGGCGTTCAATAAGTGTGTTGGTGTGTCATGTGTGTACATGTCTGTACATATGTTCTTTGTTCTTTCAGTATTTTGTGTATTTCTCATGTGGGCAGACCATTGCTTTATTTACTGGATGTAACACATTACATGACTTCTTTTTTTGCTGATCGTTTATTCTATGTCTGTGCAAATACTTTGCACTTTGATGGGTTCTTCCATATACCTCTATATGGTTGTTGCTTTCTGTTGTTCTATGTTTCCCTGACAGTGAAGCGATTATGTTCATACACTTAAATTGTTGTTCTTTTCTCTCTCTTTTGGGTAGTAGCTAAGTGTACTCTGTTGGTCTTACTCTCTTAATAAGCATGTATTTAGGGGATAACACTGGTAGGTCCTACTTCTTGTCCCCCCCATCCCCCCGTTGTTTATGTCTATCCGCCTTATTCTTTTCCCTACACCTAATGGCTGTTACTGGGTTGATATGCTTCTGTTTATTCAAGCAAACAAACAAAGTCTTTTATTGATGATGTATTTGCTACAAAATGCTGAACCTAGAACTTTCTGTTTACCAGGTGGTGGCGGCCGATGAAGCAGTGGCCAACGAGGCGGCCGCAGCGGCCCAGGCCATCAAGGACGAGTGCGAGGGAGACTTGGCCGAGGCCATCCCAGCCCTAGAGGCAGCTATCTCAGCCCTCAACACTCTCAAACCCTCTGACATCTCCATGGTCAAAGCGATGAAGGTGAGAACTGAAGCTAGTCCTTGTATTGCCTGACATTTAATTTTGTCACTGTATGGCTAAAGATCAGTCTGGTATTGTCAGAGATTGTCATTTTTCAATGTGCGGCTGAGAATAGTCCTAGTATTGTTATAGTATGTCATTTTTCAGTGTGTGGTTAAAAATAGTCCGTATTATTATCACAGTCAGCTGTTGTTTACTGTGTGGCTAAAGATAGTCTAAGTATTGTCACAGTCTGTCATTTTTTCGTGTTTAGCTAAAAATAGTCCATGATGTGTCTGTCAGTCACTGTTTTCTGTGTGGGATGCAACTTTTGCTTAGTTTACACTTTAAAACTCTGTGATGCTTCGATGATGAGGGCTATCTAATGTTGTTCTTGACTGTCCTATGACTGTTACTTCCTTGTTCTTTTTTTAAAAAGTCTTTCTGCTATGCCTATCTGTGTATTTGTCTTTGTCTCCGCTCTAAACAATTTTTCATGTGTCGATGTTCTTTTGTGAAAGTTAAACACGAAATTTAGACACAGATTTTACACACCTTGGAACCTGGTCTTTCAGCATCCTCCTGGCATTGTGAAGCTGGTGATGGAGTCTGTGTGCGTGATGCTGGGTATCAAGTCAGAGCGTAAGCCAGACCCCTCAGGCACGGGAAAGATGATGGAAGATTACTGGGGGCCATCCATGAAACTGCTAGGAGACTTGAAGTTCCTAGACAGGCTGAAGACCTACGACAAGGACAACATTGCACCACCCATCATCAAGAAGATCAGAGAGAAGTGAGTTGAGGTGTCTTAGTCCAGTAGTGAAAATGTTGTACTAACTCTTACATGGGGCCGAGTCCCCTGATCAGTCATAGAAGTTGGAGTTTTTTATGAGTTGCTTTCTTGGGAAAGTTACTTTTCTCAAAAAGTTCACATTTCTCCCAGCTGCAGACTTGTGTAGAGGCAGGGTGGAAGTAACTAGTACTTGTCAAGGGCAGAATGGGAACTGAAACTGATGATAAATGGTACTTGTATGAGGCAGGGATGGTTCCTGGTGTTTGCAGGGGAGATAAGTTTTACTTGTTGAAAGGAAGATATGTCAAGTTTTCTTTGTTAGGGGTGGGGATGATTAGTGGTACTTGTAGAGGGGGGGGGGGTAAGTTTTCCTTGTTGAAGGGAGGGGGATGTAAATGGTACTTGTTGAGGGAAGGGGGTAGGTGTAAGGTGTACTTGTTGAGGGACAGGAGTGGTAGTGTAAGGAGGATTGCCTAAGTTGACCCTCATACAGGTTTCTTCCTCTTATCTGCTTTGGAGACTTGCATCTGAAATTGTGGGAAGGGCCATGCTGACCAAATTTGTTTTGCCAAATACTCTACTGTCCAGGATACTCACTGTGCAGACATTTTGTCTCAAAACACACATCTCAGATGTGAATAAAAAATCTGGACTGGTAAATTTGTCCAAAGCTGGCATCTAATGAGTTTTGTTATGATGTCCTTTACTTGTAAGACATATTCATAGCCAAAATCTTTCTCTGTCTCTCCCCCCTCCCCCCTTCTCTCTCTCTCTTTCTTCTCTCTTTCTTCTGTCTCTCTTGGTCTCTCTCTCCCTCTCTCTCCTTCTCTCTCTCCTTCTCTCTCTCTCTCTCTCTCTCTCTCTCTCTCTCTTTCTCTCTCTCTCTCTCTCTCTCTCTCTGCGTCTGTTTGTCCCTGTTATTTATCCTTTGTCTTTCCCTCTCTCTCTCTTTGCCTCTCTCCAATCTGACCACCAGGTTCCAGGGAGGAGATTGACTGTCATCACCAATGCGTTCTCCATTGAAGAAATTTAATTTTTTTGAGGGAATCTTGATGAGAGTGTAATGGTTTTCCACTCCTATATCAAGAAGACATTACTTTTTGTCTACTGCAAAAGTGGTCTTCAGAAGGAGAGAATTATGAATGCTAGACAAATATATGACAAAGCCCTGTCTTAAGTGGACAAAGTTTAATCTTCATTTTTATGGTGAACCCCTTTGCCACATGTTTGATATTTTCTTCTTTCTTAGATACATCGTCAATTCAGAGTTTGACCCAGGTCTCGTGAAGAATGCATCTACAGCATGTGAGGGTCTGTGTCGCTGGGTGTGTGCGATGGATGTCTATGACAAAGTTGCCAAAGTGGTTGCTCCAAAGAAAGCCAAACTGGCAGAGGCAGAGGGTGAGCTGGCTGTCCAGATGGAAAAGTTGAATGAGAAGAGAGCACAACTGCAAGCCGTGAGTATCTGATTAAATTTTTAAAAAGTTTTTAGCTCAGAGTTGTTATTTTGTTTTTTGTTGGCAATCTTTTTTGTTTTCCATCAAATATACCTCCCTCATCTGCTAACAAAATCTGACTTTATGTCCTTGAGTCTCTTGAGTTATTTTTCAGATTGTTGGAGGGAGCAACTGATGACTCATAATTCTGTAACATCTTAATGGTGTATTTTTTGTTATCTAATTTTTTTTCTTACTCTTTATGACAACGCTGTGGTCTTCTGTTTTTTAGCCTAAATAGATGAATAAACAAACAAGCAAACAACCAGACAGTGAAGTAAATCGACAAGTGTTTGCCAACAAGCTATCAAAAAGTAAAATAAAAAGATATTTTAAAAAAATAAACAGCCAACAAACAAGCAATCCAACTCCTTTAAACTATCTACTTCTTCCTGTTGTCTGCTCCTGCCTCTTACTGGTTACTGTGTTATTTTATAAGGTGGCTGAAAAAAAGGGGGGGGGGAGAAGGTAGGTCCTACTTCTTTCCCTTGTTTATTGCTTTCTGTCTGTTCTAACACACTACAAACAACAAACTTATCTGACCACCTGAGCCCTCCAAACATCTGCCACATAACCAGAGAATCAGGTCCTTCCCTTCTGCACTAAACATTGTTATTGTATCAATGTACTTCCCTTTATACTCTTACAAACAAATCTGTTTATTCTTCCCCCTCCCCCACCCCCCCCCAACTGAACATCAAATGGTCACTGCAAGAGCTGTCCAAGGCCATCAATGGGGATGGAAAGTCTGCTCCCAACCCTCTCCCCAACAACAAAAAACCATAAAACAGGTGACAGACAAGCTCCAAGCCCTCAATGACGAGTTTGAGGTGATGACCCAGAAGAAGAAAGACCTGGAGGCTAACATTGACCTCTGTTCCAAGAAGCTGGACCGTGCAGAGAAGCTGATTGGTGGGCTGGGCGGGGAGAAGGACCGCTGGACTGAGGCAGCTCGTGTGCTGGGGGAGCAGTACATCAACATCACAGGAGACGTGTTGCTTTCCTCGGGAGTGGTAGCTTACCAGGGGGCGTTCACCATTGACTTCAGACAGGTGAGACAGAGAGAGAGAGAGAGAGAGAGAGAGAGAGAG